AATCAAAAAGCATTATGCATTATATTTGTTCACTTTTTAAAATTTAAAATTAATGAAGAGAAATAAGCAGGGATTGATACAAACATATTTGTCAAATGAGAAAGGGGGTAGAGGGGGGGGGGGAATTAAGCAACTATGGCATCCCATGAAAAGATTGTGAAGATTTGCTAAAGAAAGCTCGTTTTGATTGCGAGACATCAATGAATTTAAATAGTTTTTGTTTGAGCTGTGTCTTTAGTTTCTTTCATTTTTTTGTATTATCACAAAATTCTACTTTTTAATTTCAGCAATTTACACAGATTTTAAACTTTTCAGGGTCTCCAGACTCTGGGGTAAATTTCTAATTTTTGGTTTAAAGGAGAATTTTGCAAATTCCTAATCGTTGCGTCTTCTTAGGAATATTTTGGATCATGTGCCTGCCTGGTTATGCTTGGTTGCCTGGGATTCAGGCTTGGCTTACCACTGCTTACACTAATTAGAACTTTAAAGCTACAATAATTCAAGCATTCTCTTTAATACCAAATAATAAAATATAATAAGATATAAAAACCTAACATATCTGGTATATATCGAGACTGCTTTAAGATTGTCCACTTGCTTTTTAGCTTTTTTAAAAAGAAGTAATTGGCAAAATTCTCATTGATTTTTGCGTAAGAGCTTGCAACATTTGGATAGCTGAGATCTTGTACAGTGTACAGTGTACAGTGTACAGTGTACAGTATACAGTGTACAGTGTGTCTCTCTATACATGACATTTTCTAGAGGAAAAGATAACGACGTGTGTTGAGAATAATTTGCATCATTCATTCTTAAATCCTAATTTTGAAAGTATTATTCTTAAAATAATTATCATAAATTAACCCTAGCACAGCTTTAACTAAGCTTTAGGAATAAACCTCAGTGATCTATAGTATAATGGGATTTTTTAAATGTGGTCTAAGTTTTCTTTTCTTTCAAGATTACCGAAGAACTAAAGAATTTCGTACAGATATTAATTTATCCCAAATTGACCTCTGTAAACAATAATTAAACGTAGTTGACTAACATTGAAAGTATATATATACTTTAAACTAATCTATATATTCAGTATTCATTCGTCCGTAAATGAATTATATATTTACGTACACATTCATCCAAAATAGCTCGATACATGGATATGATAATTAAATTTCTCTTTTCTAATTTCTTCATAGTAGTAACTAGAGAACAAAGGTTTTTCGTTCTAAAAGTAAAGAAAATAAGTTGATCAAACTGTATATCTATATATGTAAAGATGTTATCTCTGTTTGTCTGTCTGTCTGTTTGTTTGCTTTTCCGATCATAACTCAGAACCCCCTTGACCGATTTGCCTCAAATTGTGAGTGGGGGAACTCGGGAGAGCCACAGGAATGTTCTTCACAGTTCTTTGTCTGGGCAACGCTGGGTTCCCGAGCTAGTTCTTAATATTAAAGTTGCAACCTCCGTACTTCAAATTCTAAACTAGTTTAAAACATTATACAGTAATGTATATTACAGGGATTGAACGAAAAAAGCTAAAAGAATTGAAAAAAATGTGCTCATTCTCTTCAAATGTTCAGAAAAACTATGCGAAAGGCACGTTTTGCATGCTTACAGGGCGTTAAGGTCTATTATTGCGCATCAAACTAAAAATTCAATTTTTTCATCATTACTATTTTCGAAGTTCTGGCTTTTTTCAATGCTAAAGTTAACTGATTTGAGTAGAAAAAGTCAATATTAATTTAAGTATAAAAAGAACATTTGACCCAAAGCTCTCTTTGTTATGCGACTAGGCCGGTCGGAGACTTTTTTTTGTATAAATGTTATTTTTATGTAAAAATGTATAAATGTTATTTTTACCATAAAATATGGGAAATTCCAAAAGATTCTAAATCTAAATATAATGTCAAAATTCTCTTTCTAACTCATTAAAGCAAAATCAACTTTTAATGCATATTATAAATAATTTAAGATTATGTATTAAAGACCGCGTTTGAATCCTTTTTATTTAATTTTTTTTTCAAATAAATACAGCTATCATTTTTGAGACACCCTGTACAGCTATCATTTTTGAGACACCCTGTACAGCTATCATTTTTGACGGATTCTAAATATGGGAAAATACGTTGCAGACCAATTCTTACTTAATCCATATGGTCATGGAGTAAAATATAATTTCGTATTGTTTTTTAAGTTTTTTCTTTTCCCGCATTTCCCGCTTTACTAACAAGTATGGAGAACTTTCACATAGTAGAATAAGAAATTATGTTTTCATAAAACACTTTGGGCGACGTGAATAAAATGGGGGCAGGAGGTTATTGTTATAATAAATTATACCTTTATTGTTCATTCACGCGTGCTTAAAGAGACTATATGATATATTTACAAATGACCATAAGGTACATTTCTGAGCAAAAATGAAAAATAAAAAATATCTTAATTATTATTATTCAGATAAATTGCTTATAATTAAATTGAGTGTCACTTGAAATAATGTAAACAGTCCCTTTAACAATTTTAATTTCTACTTTTTCTAAAGCATGCTGCTTGACCCTTTTTGTTCCAAAGGCTGCAAGGTCCCTCGAAAAAATGTTGAGAATTTTGCCAATTACTAGTTAAAAACTGAAGTTAAAAACAAATGCTGATAGATATGAACTATACGTTTTTAAGACTAGAGCAAATGTATACATAAGCAAGGGAGGTAAAATCAAAGTATAAGCAAGCAAGTAAGGTAAAATCAAAGTATAAGTAAGCAAGGGAGGTAAAATCAAAGTATAAGTAAGCAAGGGAGGTAAAATCAAAGTATAAGTAAGCAAATGAGATAAAATCAAAGTATAAGTAAGCAAATGAGATAAAATCAAAGTATAAGTAAGCAAGTAAGGCGAAATCAAAGTATAAATAAGCAAATGAGATAAAATCAAAGTATAAGTAAGCAAGTGAGGTAAAATCAAAGTAGAAGTAAGCAAGCAAGGTAAAATCAAAGTATAAGTAAGCAAGTGAGATAAAATCAAAGTATAAGTAAGCAAGTAAGGTAAAATCAAAGTATAAGTAAGCAAATGAGATAAAATCAAAGTATAAGTAAGCAAGTGATGTAAAATCAAAGTATAAGTAAGCAAGTGATGTGAAATCAAAGTATAACTAAACAAATGAGGTAAAATCAAAGTATAAGTAAGCAAGTGACGTAAAATCAAAGTATAAGTAAGCAAGTGAAGTAAAATCAAAGTATGAGTAAGAAAGTGATGTAAAATCAAAGTATAAGTAAGCAAGTGATGTAAAATCAAAGTATAACTAAACAAATGAGGTAAAATCAAAGTATAAGTAAGCTAGTGAGATAAAATCAAAGCATAAGTAAGAAAGTGAAGTAAATCAAAGTATAAGTAAGTGAGGTAAAATCAAAGTATAACTAAGCAAGTGATGTAACATCAAAGTATAAGTAAGCTAGTAAGGTAAAATCAAAGTATAAGTAAGAAAGTGAGGTAAAATCAAAGTATGAGTAAGCAAGTGATGTAAAATCAAAGTATAAGTAAGCAAGTGATGTAAAATCAAATTATAAATAAGCAAATGAGGTAAAATCAAAGTATAAGTAAGCAAATGAGGTAAAATCAAAGTATAAGTAAGCAAGTGAGGTAAAATCAAAGTATAAGTAAGCAAGTGAAGTAAAATCAAAGTATGAGTAAGCAAGTGATGTAAAATCAAAGTAAAAGTAAGCTAGTGAGGTAAAATAAAAGTATAAGTAAGTAAGTGAGGTAAAATCAAAGTATAAGTAAGCAAGTGAAGTAAAATCAAAGTATGAGTAAGCAAGTGATGTAAAATCAAAGCATAAGTAAGCAAGTGACGTAAAATCAAAGTATAAGTAAGCAAGTGAAGTAAAATCAAAGTTTGAGTAAGACAGTGGTGTAAAATCAAAGTATAAGTAAGCAAGTGATGTAAAATCAAAGTATAACTAAACAAATGAGAAAAAATCAAAGTATAAGTAAGCTAGTGAGATAAAATCAAAGTATAAGTAAGAAAGTGAAGTAAAATCAAAGTATAAGTAAGTGAGGTAAAATCAAAGTATAAGTAAGTAAGTGAGGTAAAATCAAAGTATAAGTAAGAAAGTGAGGTAAAATCAAAGTATAACTAAGCAAGTGATGTAAAATCAAAGTATAAGGAAGTGAGGTAAAATCAAAGTATAAGTAAGTAAGTGAGGTAAGATCAAAGTATAAGTATGTGAGGTAAAATCAAAGTATAAGTAAGTAAGTGAGGTAATATCAAAGTATAAGTAAGTAAGTGAGATAAAATCAAAGTATAAGTAAAGACACTTTAAATTTGACCCAGTTTTAAAAATTGCTGCAACTATTTATTGGCAGTATGGATCTCTGTTTAATTTTTCTTGCATATGCGCGTATATTTTTCCTTTGTAAGTTTTTAAATAACAGTGATTAGATTTCTGAAAAAATAATAATCTATACATAATATAAACTATAAACTCTTTGTTTGTTTGCTTGTTAGTATTTCGGATCATAACTCAGGAACTATACCGATTTGCCTCAAGTGTCGGGCAACGCTGAGTTCTCAAGCCTTGTTCTAATTTCGCTTAAAAGATACATGGCATATGTAAAGGAATAATATTAAAATATTTTGAAACAATTTCATTTTGTTCTTAACAACATTTTTAATTCTATATCCCTTCATGGTCATCATTTAAATATGAAATTTTGTTTGCAAAGAATGTTGGTTATTTTTGTTTATTGGTTATTTCTTAATGTTGACCCTTTTATTCTCTTCGAAAACATTATGTTAATAATTCCGAATTTGCATAAATATAGTTACAATTAAGAATTGTATTACCAGCGCCCCCCCATCCCCGAAACATATCCTTGAAAAATTATAAAAATAACCCTAAAACTTTTCAAACTTATCAAACCTACAAAACTTTATATTATAATATATATATTTCTTATTTTCCCGAAAAAGAGTTTTTTCCTCTAAATAATTAAATGATTAAACACCCTGAATATATTACAGAGAACGTGTTGTTTCATTAATGTATAATTGAAGAGAGGGCATGAAGCTCATTCCATTCAAACAAGCAGGAGAAACAACAACCAAACAGGTAGGACAGGAAATATAACTAGACAGGTAAGACAGGAAATATAACTGGACATATAGGACAGGAAATATAACTAGACAGGTAGGACAGGAAATATAACTAGACATATAGGACAGGAAATATAACTAGACAGGTAGGTCAGGAAATATAACTAGACAGGTAGGTCAGGAAATATAACTAGACTAGTAGGACAGGAAATATAACTAGACAGGTAGGACAGGAAATATAACTAGACAAGTAGGACAGGATATATAACTAGACAGGTAGGACAGGAAATATAGCTAGACAGGTAAAGCAGGAATTAAAACTAGACAAAAAGGCCATGAAATATTTCTAAACAACTAGAGATGGACGCGTTCGTTTTTTCCGTCGTTCAATAAAAATTTGAATTTGTTTGTTTTCTGAAAAATCTTCCATTTTTATTCGTTCGTTTTTTAACTGAATGATGTTGTAATAAAACTGTTTGTTCAGTAAAAACATTCCTTTTTTCCAAATCGTACGAAAAAACTCGTTTGTTAAAAAACGACCGTTTAAGGAAAACATTTTGTTGGAAATTTTGTTTGTTGACGAAAAATATTGTTAGTTTTGCAAAATTTGGTTCGTTCACTAAAACTATCTCCATCCCTAGTATACACAATACATGTAGGATAGGTAATATATTTAGACTGGAAGGACAGAACATTTAACTAAACAGTTAGAGCACAAAATATAAGATTATAACTAGAACATGAAATAAAAATAGAATTCTAGAACTATTATTTTCAACATTCTTTTGGAGTTTTTCTTTATTAATTTTTCTTTTAATATTTCCCCATATTTCATAGATTTGTTCCAATATTGTTAATATTTAATTTATGTTGATTTTTTAGCTTTTGTTTTGATTTGATTGATTTCATTTCATTTCACCAAATAAAGCAATTTAATATCACTTTTTGGCATTGGACAATTTTTTAAATCAATTTATTAGTAATTTAAAAATACATCATATAAATAAGCTTTGTAACTTTGGTTTCATTCAGGTAGTGGATAGCCTGGGGAGGATGACCGTGCACGGTCGCACGCGTAGCACCAGCTCTGGCTCAGGGTAAGTTGGGCATAAATGTCGTCTTTTATCTTCATTTTCGTGGATTTTCTCGTATAGATTTGCCAATATTAACTATTGTTGCTTTTTCACGTAATCCATGGAAATTTTCTGATTTTGATACATTTTCCATGTAAAATGTGTTTTATTATTTTTAATTTGAATATAAAGGCAGATATATCCGATATTTTCCAGATCTTTTAATGCTAATTTAATGCAATCAAATATATTCAGTTGGCCTTCTTAAATAGTGCTAAACAATGAGAAGAGAAATATGATTTCTTCATTCTTCTTCAACACGTGCCTTTCCTTTCCAATCCGGGCACACATGTTACAGGGATTTACTTCTTAGGTTCTTACACATTTTTCTGTACCAGCCTGTCTGTACCAAATTTTTTTTTGGGACTCGGATTTTTATTAGTTTATTTTGCATGTAACTTTTCTTAGGGTTACAGTGCATGTAAGGCATGTAAATGTTTAACAAGATTTTTAAAATAGATTTTTAAAGCTTCTCAGATTATTAAAAACAATTCAAAAAAGTCTAAAAATGTTAGAAATTGTTTAATAAAAGGCTTTTTTTAACATACATTTTTTTCAATCACTAATATTGCAGGGAGAGTGAGGAGGAGAGAAGAGAGGAGGATAGGAAGAAGGACGTTGTAGACTATAATCAACTACAAAATACAGAACAGCTTCCCGGGGTTAGTTTTTAATTTTTAATGTCAAAATGTCTCATTTCTGACATCTTGATAATTATAGATTTAGCCTGCTACAGGGTGTCCCACGAAACATGACAGTTCGTGAATGGTTTAGAATGTCTTCTTCCATAATTTTTAAAGCTAATTGATACCAAAGACAAAAATAAAAATATTATATGGGAGTCATATCAAAGTAAAATTGATTTCAAAGTAAAATATATTGGAGAAAAAGATTTTTTTAACGAAATAAACTGCAAAAATCCTTTAATATCATAATACAGTATATATAAGACGATATTAAAAACTATTTAATAACTGTCATGTTTCGTGGGACACCCTGTATAAAAAGTTGCATCAATGCTAGATAGAATTTGAACTATGCAATTAACTTAAGTTTTTATTGGCACAATTATTAAAGAACTTTGCGTTAGAGCTTTAAAAGAAATCTTCAATTGTGTTTCACAAAAACAAGAAGGGAAATTGCAAAATGTCCTCTGTCTTATTTCAAGATGTCATAAATCCTTTTTTTTCAATATGTCCTCCATATTGTTACCCAAAATGTCCTCCATCATGTTTTCAAGGTGTCGTCCATTATGTTTTCAAGATTTCCACCATATTGTTTTTAAGATTTCCTCCATCTTGTTCCCCAGAATATTGTTTCCAAGATGTCCTCCATCGTGCTCCCAAGAATATTGTTTCCAAGATGTCCTCCATCTTGTTCTCAAGATATCCTCCATCTTGTTTTAGACATTTCCTTCCAACGTGTTTTCATGATATCCTCCATATTGTTTTCATGGTCTCCTCCATATTGTTTTTATGATAACCTTCATATTGTTTTCATGATATCCTCCATATTGTTTTCATGATATCCTCCATATTGTTTTCATGGTCTCCTCCATATTGTTTTCATGATAACCTTCATATTGTTTTCATGATATCCTCCATATTGATTTCATGATATCCTCCATATTGATTTCATGGTCTCCTCCATATCCTCCATATTGTTTTCATGATATCCTCCATATTGTTTTCATGATATCCTCCATATTGTTTTCAAAATGTCCACTATTTTGTTTCCAAAATTTCCTCCATCTTGATTTTAATGTTGCAGGAGTTCTTAGTTAAGTATCTTGGAAAGAAGGACGCTAGAGGACTCTGGGGGATCAAACATACTCGTAAACCAGTAGATGATATGGTCTCCCTTGCTAGGTAAAATTAAATCCATCAATTAATTGATTGTTGATGTGAATACTTGATTTGATTAATTTTTGGATTGAAATAGCTAACCTAATATTTTTTTAATTTGCGCCATTTCCGTTCCAACATTCTTGTAACATTTATTAATTTTATAAAAAAAATAGTGCTAGTCGTTATCATAAACAGGGTTGTTCATTATTGACATAAATTTTAGTAACTGTTAAAATAAACGGAAAAGTTGTATAGTCATCTCACCTCATCATAACAAGTTATTATGTTTGTTATAGTTAGGAGTCAGAAATTTCAGTCAGTAATTTCAAATTTATTAGAAAGAAAATTAAAAAGAAAAGATTACCTTATTTTCTACACTTCGTTTCAAAAACCCTTTTTAAATTTTGAATCCTCTTTTAATAAAAAAATCTTTTAACGTTTATTTCTCCCTTCCTTCCACCCCCCGGGGCTTTATTAAAAACAGAAGTTTGCGGGATGATGCAATTGAAATAAAACAATGCAAGAGATATAAAAATTGCACCAGTCATGATTTTCTAACTGGGGGTATTTAGTACAAAGTCATTCTCTCTACAATAACCCCATTTTTGTAATCTATATCTATATATAAATTTGGCTTGTCTGTCTGTTTGTCTGTTTGGGTGGGTGCTTGTTTGTTTGTTTGTATCCAATAAACGTCAAAATGGCTAAACTGATCGGGCCCAAATTTTGTGTGGGACATCATATGACCCCTGGGAAGGTTTATGGATGATCAAAATAAAAAAAAAGACTCCAACAATTTATATATTAAAAATGCAATAAATATGTATGTGTTGAAAGTGAAGATTTCAAACTAGAGTCCGAATTTAATTAATTTGAGCAGCATCTCAAATCCGCCAAAAAACAGTTTTAATTGAGCACCGGCTTAAATCTTGAAACATTAAATACTATTCTAAGTGGAACCAATCATATTTAAGCTGCGTCTCAAATTTGAGCCGCGGCTCAAATTCGCCCTCAGGGTTTTTTTTAACGCCATCAAGGCAGTCGATATTTTTTCTTTTACTTTTTGATTGGCACTGGTTAAAACCTTTGCTTTATAAAATTCAACCAACTCAACTTAGAATTTTAAAATCAAGCTAAGAATATTTCCGTGGTTTAGTTTCCTAATAAAAAGTTAAGGCCAATTGGTCCAGGGGTTACGGAGTTATGATCGGACATCCAAACAGAGATTACTACTTTATGCAGATAGATAGATATAATAAATGTGAAATCTTTTTAATTCAATTACTTGGTTATATATTCTTTAGATTGCACCCATTACAGTACTAAAAATTATTTCTTTATCTTCTGTATCATGTGTAATGTTTATATATATATTTCCTGAATGTTTGTTTGTTTATTGGAGGTGTCGTACTGTCGGCTTTTATCAGATCAAGATCAAGATATAAATAGATAAAAGATTTAAATAAACAGAGCTGAAAACTTTAGAATGATGGATATCAAGATTAATGCTTAAACTCTTGGTTTTACTAAACCCAAGATTATTTTAAAACGCATTCGATATCCAAGAAAAAAGTTAAAAATTCAACCAATCAGCGTGTCAATTTAAGATGTACTCTTTAACTTTTGAAAAAAACCGGTTTGATTTCTGGTGTTAATGGTGTCATATCAATTGTACTAAACATCGATTGAACGAACGTAAGTTTCGGATTAATGTTTATTAAGACTAACGTTCATAATGACAATTATAGTCCTGAAATATGTTTTTTAATAATTTTAATAAAAGGGATTTATACAGCATGGACAAAGATGGAAAATTACCGAATCTGTCTTGTTTTCAGAAACGACGATATCTTCCTTGTTGTTACTTAGTTAACGGGCGCCGATTCAATTGAGAAACACTTGATATTACGCCGAAAATCCCTTTAATTCTTTAACTTTGACAATCAAGTTTTTCACACTATTAAGCTGAAGATAAAAACTTCTCTTTGGTAAATTGAAAAATTAAAGTTATAATTGGAGTTAAGTAGTGTGGGAGAATTCTTTTTATTATTAATTTGAGATTAAATTTGATGCTGTATCATTCCCAACTGATGCAAGGAAAAAGAAAAAATTTCGTTCTTCCAAATTTAATGCAGCATTAAATAGTTAAAAATGAGAAACATTTTATGGAATTAACAAGTATTGACTTTTTAATAACTTTTACCTGCTAAATGTTTGAAAAATGCATATCATAAATACACGTATTTTGAGACAAAAAATCCTTGAACAAGAGAAGATATTCGGGAAAAAAGTGTCAAATTGTGAATATAAAAATAATTTTCTAAAATTTAATAAAAACACATTATTTCTTCCCCACCCCCACAATGCCCTGTTCCGACTCAGTAAATTTTGCAATTTTTGCAAAGACGACATTTACATTCAGGGGCCTACAGGCTGGTACTCCTCTACCCTACCTCAAGCTAACAGTGTCAGATAAGGGGGTCAACATCTCACCTCATTCTAGGTAGAACATAGATAAGAATAGAAGGGAAATAAGATTATCCCTTGGTATGAACTTGTTTAGTTCCTTTAAGCCTGAAAAGGAGTTCAAAGTGTACAATTCATGGAAATGTTCACAAATGATATGCAGTACATAACAGTACAGTACATCATAATAATCCTGGACATATCCCCGTTACAATTTCTTCTTGTTCTAAAGTTTATGCTGAAATGAACTAGGAATGCATGACAGGTTGTCTGATAATTAATGTAGAGAAAATAAAACAATTTTCAAGAAATTTTTTCTTCTTTAAAAGATGTTCCAGGGCCCCAAAAGGTTATATAACACAAATGTGTAGTATGGAAGCAGTACAAAAAAATGGCGGGTTTACCCTTTTTTGAATTAGTTTCCCTCTATAATTATCTATTCTCTTTGGTAAAAGAGTAGTGATAAATTATTTTATTTGTATTTTAACACGTGAACTTCTAAACTAAATTATCACTTAAGATCAAAATATTTATACTTAAAATCATTAATCCTCTTATTGAAGAGATATCGAGAAGAAAAAAAAGTTTTAAATTTCTTTTATGTTAAATGATATGAGCTGTTGCTTTTTTCATACTTGTGCTTAAAAGCAATATTAGAATGATTTCTTTTTTTGTTCAGCGATCTAATAAATTGATGAATAATCCAAATTAGCTGGCAGGTTGATTGATTCTAAACAAGTTTGATTGATTAATTGATTGATTAGGAACTTGAACACTGAATATGAGTGTGGATTATATCCTATTGATACAATCAGCTATGGAGTACAGGATCTAGTCTATACAAGGGTATTTGCTATGATCGTTGTAAAGGTAAATATTTATGTATTTTTCTTGCTCTTAAAATTCATACCCATTTTTTGATTAAATTAGAAGTAGAAATTAATCATAAAATGAAATGTTGACTTTTTTAAGTTATTAATTTGTATGGTCCACTGAACGTGAAACACAGCAATTGTGCAGTGTACACAGACTCCTTTTTTACTGGATAAGTTGATTTTCAAACAAATGGTAGAACTATATTTATACTTCTTTAAACACATAAAATACACATCAGATTACTCAAATATCGTTTTCTTATTCCATAGTACTTTGAGTATATAATTGTTGCTTTAGGATACACCGGAAATACGGGAAGGTGGTGTAAGACGACATCCTTTTGAATGCCACGCTTTTGTGTGTGAGTCACGGCAAAGCGCTAGGAAATTAACTTTTGCTTTAGCAAGCGCATTCCAAGTAAATACATTAACTTTATACTATAAATTCAGTTTTTCCAAAAACTATTATTTTCATTAATTTTGCCTAGGTTTTTTCTAAGAGTATAAAAAGCTCCCAGAAAAGACGAGGAAACAGCTTTGCGATTGATCTACGAAGTCCTGAAGAACTTCAGAAGGAATTCAAGACTCAAGATTCTGAAGCTTAATATTGATTTATCGAAAATATTGAATATTTGATTATTGTATAACATTTTTTGAGAATTTCACATTTTATTATATTTTAAGATAAAAGTCTATATCAATGATATTGTTTTTTAAATTTAGATTGATTGTGAATGTATTTACAAGATTTCTAAAGAAAAATAGTTTAATTGATATGACTGTTGGGTAAATTATGTTTATTTAATGTAGATATTGTACGTATTGTAATTTAAAACCTTTTATTTCATATTATTTACTGAAAGTTAGACTGTAATGTTTGAACATAGAATAAAATATGTTTAATATAAAGTTTGGTAAGAAATTTAATCTAAAACAAAAAGAAGCCCCACTGATTATTTAAATTTTTTCAGGCGAAACAGCTGAATCCCATTTTATTCAGAGACACCCTGTTTAATATATATTTACTATTTAGTGTTTCGCTAGGCAAAAATATTGGTTTACAAGATAAGAACACATATATTTGATGCAAGTAAAACAGTTTTACTTTGGATCTGAAAAAAAACTTATTTATGGTGTTAAAACACAGTGAATATAATCTATATCTTTTTTTCGTACTTTCTCTAAATTTTGATCTTTTAAATTAAAAGCTTTATGATAATATATAAAAATAAAAAAAGATCTTTATAGATAAATCATATATGTTTTTGCACTTACTTTTGATCTGATTGGTTAAAAATCAAATTTTATTTTATAGCTTTAATTTTAATTTTTTTTTAATTTAATCAAGACATTAACTTAGGATTTTTTGAAAAACCGCCTGTAAGAATCTTCACAATTGAGTTAGTGACGTCACATTCGTCCCATAGTTTGGTTTGATATTTTATAACACTCTAATGGCAAAGTATTAAGATTTCTAAAAAAAATTATGAGATAAAGTAAAATTTTAAAGGTACAAAAGAGTACAAACTTGTTTTTTGATACATCCAAACTAAAAACTTCTTCCAATTGTCATGCACCCTGTTCTTCCTTTTCATAAAATGAAAATGACACATTAGGTAGGGTGCTGTAGTGCGGGGTGGGGTGGGGGGTAGTGGACATTATCCCCCTGATCAAGAACTGGGAAATTGATTATCTAACTTCCCCTCGTCAATGTTGTTATCTATATACATCTTTACTTTTATATATTTACAGAAATAGTAAGTACTAGGTTCTAGTACTTTATAAAGATATATTCCTGGTTTTTAAAGATATATTCCAGGTTTATAAAGATATATTCCAGGGTAATAAAGAGATATTCCTGGTTTATAAAGATATATTCTAGGTTTATAAAGATATATTCCAGGTTTATAAAGATATATTCTAGGTTTATAAAGATATATTCCACGGTTCTAAAGATATATTCCAAAGATATATTCCAGGGTTATAAAGATATATTCCACGGTTCTAAAGATATATTCCAGGGTTATAAAGATATATTCTAGGTTTATAAAGATATATTCCACGGTTCTAAAGATATATTCCACGGTTATAAAGATATATTCCAGGGTTATAAAGATATATTCAAGGGTTATAAAGATATATTCCAGGTTTTAAAGAGATATCACAGGTTTATAAAGATATATTCCAGGTTTTTAAAGAGATATTCCAGGTGCATAAAGAGATATTACAGGTTTTTCATAAGATATTTTTCAGGTTTTTGACATTTTTGTTAATTGTTTCTTTGATCCGCCAATTAGGCGTAATCCCGCAAAGTTATACAAAATGAAAATTATTTCGCATAACTGAACGTATATGTTGGAAACCCTAGATGTTTCTAATGTTAGCTACTTCATCTGACGTTATTATCTACTCGCGACGACCTTTTATATAATTCAATAAGTTGCTATTTCATCAAAAAGTTTGTTAAAAATTGTTTCTTCCTTTTCAAAACATATTTGATTAAAAGATATATTTAAGTGACATCTTGTAATTGAAATGAATCATTCTGTAGATCAGAGTTTTAACCTTAGTGGTCTAAACTATTCTGTTGTTTTCAATCAGGTCGAATTCTTCATGTCTTCAGTTTTCATATTCTCCGGAGTGTAATGTTCTGAAGTTGGTTGTTCATTCTTCCGTAGCCAAGTCTCATTTTTCGGAGCCATGAGTTAGATTCTCCGCGGACACGCAACCAGTCCTTCACCGGAGACCCAAACAACAGGAGTTAATCCGCGGCAACGCACACCAATCAATTAATAGGTAAACACGTGTACACTCAACACACTTGATAATTTCGCACATTTTCCCCCACTAAAGTTAGTAAACCAAATTGCTAGGGGGGAATTGTAATTTTAGGAAGACAGGAGAAAGGTTAAACTTTGTTGTATCCTTGGTTACGTAGTATATGATAGTATAGTTTTCCCTTGCATTATATTAGTTCAATACATTCTTTATCAGGATATATCATTACAAGTATACACTGTCAAACTGTATTTCAAAGTTTTTATATCATTTTTCACGTACATATCTTACATACAGCTGGTTACCCACAAAGAATGAGACTGATAACACTATCTGAAACTTACAACATGAGGGTCCCAAGGTTGAATATTAACTATTTATGATTTATTAAATGCTTTGGCAAAGAAAGAAACAAGTTTACAGTAAACTGAGGTAATCATAAGTTTAAGGAAACAGACAGTATAAATTCAGTCGTCTATGAGGTCTCATCCTTTGTGGGTAACCCTGTATTTAAACCACTTAGACCTCAACAGGAATAAATATGATCTCTTAACGTATTAAATGCAAAATCATTAAAAAAGTGCACGAATGTATTTTGAATTATATAGTTTAATATCTATAAATTTGATCAGAGCTGAAAACTTTAGAATGGAATATCCTTAATCCCGATCGGTTAATTAATCTGGAGATTAATAACAAGAGAAGAACAAGCATTATTTAATCTGGAGATTAAGAAAAAGAGTGGATCAAGCCTTAATCCCGATATCCACTATTCAAAAGTTCCCAGCTCAGAGCTGGGAACTTTTCAATGTTGGATATCGGAATTAATGCTTAATCCACTCTTTTTCTTAATCTCGAGACTAAATAATGCTTGTTCTCCTTATATTATTAATCTCCAGATTAATTAACCGATCGGGATTAAGGATATGGCTGAAGAAACTGTGTCTTTACAAACTCAAATTTTCTAACCCCTATATCTTTGCAACCTGGTAGTGTAAACCTTTGATATTTCCTACATAAACTATTTGACCCAACAGAATTAATAGTTTGTCATATCTAGAGTCTTCGACATCGGGTTGCAGAGATATAAGGATAAAACGTGAAGCCTGACAGACAAGACTATATTTCACGTTATTTGCTTGGGACATGTTTAAGGGTTAATTTTTATGCCATAACAAAACTGTTCTTTGTAAATAAATATCTATGTTTTTTTACATTAACAAAATTATTCAGTTCTTTCTGATCCGTTTTTACATAGTTGGTTTTCCTCATTTTTAGTATTTCAATCTTTACAATAAATCTTTGCTTGACAAGAAATATGCTTTACATTTATATCTAAATCATTGAGCTTTTTCGGATTCGTTTGTAGAAGTTTATTCTTCCTGATTTTATAACATTTGTTTAGATATAATTGTTCATAAGTTTTATTACCATTCATAAATCTTTCTTCTTAATTGATAATTTGCTATTATTACATAGATTAATTTACTTTAATTAAATACATTTATTTGCGCAATTTAACGCCAAAAATATCTTTTAATTTAAGAAATCTTTCAAATAGATATTTGATATTTATAATTACAGGGGACATTAGTTACACTGTATTAAATATAGTAGTAAACCCTATATTTGTAAGCCTGAACACACCTAGATATTACGTTGTACATTGCGTGATTAAGTTGTATCTTGTAAGACAGATACCTGAGAATACTGATAGAGTCGTATCCAGTTTGATATTGACTGAAGTATTATTGAGTGACCCTGTAGTTCATGATTGAGTTGTATCTTTTAAGACAGATACCTGAGAATACTGATAGAGTCGTAACGGGTTTGATATTGACTAAAGTATTATTGAGTGACCTTGTAGTTCATGATTGAGTTGTATCTTGTAAGACAGATACCTGAGCATACTGATAGAGTCGTAACGGGTTTGAAATTGACTAAAGTATTATTGAGTGACCTTGTAGTTCATGATTGAGTTGTATCTTGTAAGACAGATACCTGAGAATACTGATAGAGTCGTATCCGGTTTGATATTGACTGAAGTATTATTGAATAGTAAAGTTCTTGATTGAGTTGTATCTTGTAAGACAGATACCTAAGGATACGGAAGGTTATACTTGACTAGGTACCGATCTAAAAGACTTTGTTGGAGTAGGGCATTTACTACACCACAACTAACAATTTTTCTTTATTCTTATACATCCTCTGGTAGGGATCGTATGTAAAGGAACTTACAGAGTTTTCCACAAAGGATAATATGACGATTCCCAAGGTTTGATTAGGTATTTTGCTTCGAATATAACCTTTAAATGGCATATTAAATGTTTTTGCAAAGAAAAAAAAACAAGTTTACAATTGTACAGAAGGAATCATGAATTTAAGGAAACAGTTGTAAGTACTCTTCCTTTGTTGGTATCCATGTATCATCTCATATAAATTCAACGAATTATTTTTTTAAATATTGACGAACGCAAATGCTGTGTAGCATGTTAGAAATAGAAAAAAAACACTAAATTTATCAAAAACGTTTTTTAAATACCAAAAAAATATGGATTCATAATTCTATCCTGCTAAATTATTTTTTCCATCTATTGTTGAGAATTAAAAAATGTTAAAAACTGGAGAATGCGTTTAAAGGGAAGCTGGAGCGTATGCGGAGGAATGGAGGATGTGGTGTACATGAATGGAGGTTTGGAGAAGATAATGGAGAATGGAGAAGGAGAGGATGGACCGAAGAAGATCTCAAATGGATCTCACGTTTTGAAAGTAAGAATAATCAAGGATTTAGTTCAATACTCCTTCCATTTTTATGGTTTGTTTCCATTTTATAAGTTTTAGAAGAACTATAGTCAATAATAACAAAAAAATAAGGTTCTGTATTTCTGAACAGGGCAGGCCAGGAGGGCCGGTGTTACGTTAAATAACGGTCCGTGCGTAAGATAATGTCGGTCTGAAATTTCAAATTTTCAAATAAATTTAATTGATCCTTTTATATTTTACGTTTAATTATTACATAGTTCTTACTTGTGAAATGTGGAAAAGTTAAATATCTATGTTTTCAATTGGTTGAAAGGACATTCGTAGATATAACGTTATTTCACATTTTACTACATCAACAAACTTATAAAACAATTTGTTTATCAATGCATTAATAATTTTACTTTATGAGGAAGTGTCAAAATCAAAAAGTGCGATTTATACTACCTGGGTTTTACCTCACACCAGGATTACAATCCAAATCTTGTTTGTTTACAATGAAACTATAGAGCTTGCCTAATGTACGTTAAAGTGTGGCGGACAAGTCGTCCTCCTTTCTAAAAAAGCAGAATTTGACTAGACCTGTGCTCTTTACATTACTTCTATAACACTCTTATATTTTCAAAGATACACCTAAAACACAACCTTTAAAATTAGGAATTATAAACTTAAACTTTAAAAGGTAAATAGAAATTTGTTCGAAATTCACAAAATGTGCCACACAAATCTCTGTTTTTCTGTCCCTAAATTTTGGACCCATAAAAGTTATGAATTTGAATACTCCAATGAATTGTGCAGTTGATGAAAAATCCTAAATAGACTGTAAGCTTAATTTCAAGTGACCTTCTGCAAGCAAAGATTACAATGTCCTATTTACAACATTAAACTTTCAACTGTTATCGAGTAAAGCGAGCTCTGTGTATAAATCTCTCAAATAGCTGTTGAATCATTCTAAAACAAGGTGTCAAGAAAGTAACTTAATGATATTTCTTAACTATATATATAACAGCTAGCAAACAAAGTGTTTAAGAAGGATATGTCTGACATCCTTAATTAGTTTAAAAGGTACTGTTGTGAATGGAATGTCACTTGAAATTACGCTTACAGTCCCTCTAAATGTGAATCCTTGAATATTTGTATTTTCATTAATATTGGACTTCATATTTCTGCAATCTCATTCTTCAAACTTAGCCTTGCAAACTTTCCTTCAGCTTTCAGGATCAACAATTCATCAATTCAAATTTGGCAGTTTTCTGACTGGAGTTATTGAAAATAACATGCAATTATCAAATTATGGGGGACTCGTTTACATTTAGTTTATTGTTTTAGGGAGTTTGGAGTAGGGGGGGGGGGGGGGTTATTCTTTGTTTTGATAATTCAAAAAAAAATCAGACTATTCCAAAAACATAAATCTTACCCAAAAGATCTTTTTTTTCGTATCAGATGTTTCATTTAATATTTCAGTTTTGTACCCAGATGACATTGTTTATTTGTTTATTCAGGAAAAAGGAAGAACAATTTATTAATTATTATTAACTTTAAGATGAACCCATATTCTAATGTTGAACTTATCAAAAGGAGTTAAAAAATACAAGCATTTAATTCGAATTTATGAACATAATTTTGGGAATGTAAAATAGTGTGAGATGTTCATACCAATTTATAAATTATTTTGATCATAATGTTCGCAATTTTGAAATGCTTTTAGTAGTTAAATATCACAAAATGTTATGTATTTCTAACATAGTGCACTTTTAGGACAAAGAGAATGATGCAGTGATAGAAAATGGGCATACAGACACTGCCGGTGAACCAGGAATAAAACCTGAACCGGAAGTAAAAAATGAGCCGGAAGTTATTCCTGAACCGGAAGTAAATAATCCTGAACCAGTGGTTGAACTCGATCCAATAGCTGAACCTGAACCTGTGGCTGAACCAAACTCAGAAGAGGAACAGGAGGTAAAATCATGTTAGTCTTATCTGTAGTAAATCTATATATGGAAATACACTGCCTTCGTATTTTACAGTATTCACAACAGTACTATTAAACCCTTACTGTTATCAATAATACATAATATGGACGTCTTATAACGTCTTTTTTCTAGCTTGAAAAGTGTTTACTTTTTATAAATTATCCGTTGTTTCTGAGATAAGAAATTGCAAAATACTTTTGTAGAGAAACTACAAATAAAAAATTAACAGATTTCATAAACAAAAACATGGATTTGTAATTCGTACCATGGATCAGACAACGACAAGCTACCAATTGACAATTACATGCCTCCTAAAAATGGAACGTCACTTGAAATTACGAAAAATAGTACCTTTAAGTACTTAAAAATGGCTGATTTCGAAAATTTTACATCTCCTCGCCTTTATTTATTTATGAATGTTATTTTGTATTTGAATTTTGTATCTTTGAATATTGTAAAAAATAATGTATAACAGATCTAAATATCTGCAAATAATGTAACAGATCTATATATCTGCAAAATTTCAAAAAAATGTTTTCTGAGATCAGTGTGACCTTTGTTAAATAGAACATGTAAGTTCTGAGGCAAGTTGTCAATATGTTGACAAATAATTCATCAAAACTGCGCAGATACAAACATTCATACTGCAGAATCTATAAAATATGTCCAAGGCTAATAGAACATGTAGTTCTGAGGCAATTTGTCAATATGTTGACAAATAATTCATCAAAACTGCGCAGATACAAACATTCATACTGCAGAATCTATAAAATATGTCCAAGACTAATAGAACATGTAAGTTCTGTGGCAAGTTGTCAATATGTTGACAAATAATTCATCAAATCTGCGCAGATACAAATATTCATACTGCAGAATATGTCCAAGGCTAATTGAAAATGTAAGTGGGTTGTAAAATGAAACTAAAGTCAATGACCTGACATAACCTTACAGTTTGTCGGTCTCACGCACCTCTACCCCTTTAGTAAAAGTAAATATTCAACCTATATAAAGCATAAAGTCTGACTGCGTCAACCTTCTTGCACCGGCTAGTCCTGTCCATAGAGCTAAGTACAGTACAAACTGGGACCGGAAAGGTTGCACGGCTCGGAAATTTAAATATACTACGGCTGCCCAGTGCCCGTGGTCTAAAAGTTGATGCATTATATGTACAGATCTATGTAAAAATCAATGTGAAACATAGCTGTTACAAATATAAAAATCCTCAGTTGTTTTCTAGATTCATTGAACATGCAATAAAATTCTATTTCAAATTAGAATATCAAATCATATATTTATTACAGTAATAGTAAATCATAACAGTTATTAACAAAATATTAGTTCATTTTTTCTACAAAGCTCTCCTTTGATCCTTCAGATATCAATAAAATTTTGAATAAATAAATAAATAAATAAATAAATATATAGGAAAGATTACAACTATTATGGTGTTACAATTATTTTACAACACAGTTTTTTAAAGGTAAAAGAGGAAAAAGTTGAAGAAAAAGATGAGAAAGTTGACGAAAAAAGTAAGAATTTTAGTTTTATTTTACTTATTTGTTAAAAATATTTTAAAGAATTAAAACCTAGTTCTACAGAAACAACATTAAAGTAAACTAGAAAATTATAAACCTTTATCAACACTGTAAAATAAAGCCAAGGACAAAACCATTTAAATGTTAAGTTCTAACATTTCAAGGGTTTGTTAACTTTTTTCAAATAATTATAATTGTACCTTTAATTTTATCTTGTTGTATGACCCATTGAGAAATTCTCAACTCTTCAGCAAATGAACTCCATAAACACAAAAAAAATTCTTGAATCGTCAAAACTCTTATTATAGCTCCCATCATAACTAATGGAGAAGAGGAGAAAACTGAAGATTCAGAGGTTAGAAATCGTTTCGTTTTGGTTATTTAGTTTTTACTTTAAGATTTGTTCTTAAAAGTACTAGAGCTTTACATTATCATATTAATAGAATAAGATGAGCTACTTTTTCCTGTATTTTGTTGTTTTCATTTTAATTGTTATTCTTTCTATTTCCCCCACCAAGCTACTTAATATTGTTCAAGGAAAAGAAAGAGTCTGAGGACCCCTCCTTGACGTTCTCCCAAAACGAAGAATCTGTTCTGGCACAATCTGAAAATCCTGCACAAGATAAAGATCCCACAAACTCTGATAATCCTACACTATCTAATGATCCTCCCCAAGCAGAAACCGAGGATCCAACACTTGAAGATCCTTCAAAAGCTGGTGATCCTGCACAAGCTGAAGATCCTTCAAAAGCTGGTGATCCTGCACAAGCTGAAGATCCTACCGTAACTGAACCAGTTGAACCGGTGAGCATATGAAAAATCAAAGGGATTGAGTCTTTGCCACAAACTCTGATTTTCTAAACCCTATATTTGAGCAACCAAATTTTGTAGACCTTAGGTAATTGAAACTATAAATTCTGTCAGCTCAAAAAATGTTAAAATTTTAAATATCACAGGTTTGCATCATCAGGTTGCAGAGATATAGAGATTAGAAAATTCGAGATTGTGGCAAAGAATCAGTTCCTTTGATAAAATGGAACTCATAGATAGTGTAAAGCGAGTGATAATTTAGCGTAACATTTCAATTTTGCCAATTAGCATAAAAATTCGCGAACTTTATTCTCAAGACAACGGAAGTGGGAAATTATCATACTTAATTTTAAGTTATAGGTAGGAAAGGACTTGCGTCTAATTCCAATATCTTTGCAACCCAAATCGGAGACCTCAAATATTTCAAATTTGCAAAGATATGGGAATAAGAAAATTTAAGTTTGTGGCAAAAGCCTAATTCCTTTGATGAGTAATGGGTCTGTTATGGTTGTTAAATTAGGTAACTATATTGTGCTTTGATGAAGAAGATAATAATTCTAAATGCAAAAACCTTTGAAAAAACAGATTTCAGAAAAAAGTCAAGATTTAGCTAAGAGAGTTATTAATCATGTTAACAGTTTAATACGCGACAGACTGGTACATTTTTGTTATACCATTAAGCAAAAAGGGGAAAACGTATTATTCACGGAAAAAGTTACAAAGCCATTTAACAATAAGTAACTTAATTAAGAATCAATTAGATCAAAAGTATTTATCAAATCGTTGGGATAAAAATTGATTTTAACCGAATGTATAATATTGTAAATCATATTATTAAATAATCGTGAAGAGGTATCCCTGAATCTGGTGCAAAGTGGTTTAATAACTAGTATTCCTAATTTCCTTGGAGAAAAACATTCGGGGGGAGAATAGACTTTGATTTATCGATATACAGAACTTAGTTCTAGTTGCTCTGGGGACTCCAGGTATCTCGGTATACAGAAATACAGGTATACAGGTATACAGGTATACAGGTATACAGGTATACAGGTATACAGGTATACAGGTATACAGGTATACAGGTATACAGGTATACAGGTTTACAGGTATACAGGTATACAGGTTTACAGGTATACAGGTTTACAGGTATACAGGTATACAGGTATACAGGTATACAGGTACACAGGTATACAGGTAAACAGGTATACAGGTATACAGGTATACAGGTTTACAGGTATACAGGTATACAGGTTTACAGGTATACAGGTATACAGGTATACAGGTATACAGGTATACAGGCATACAGGTATACAGGTATACAGGTATACAGGTATACAGGTATACAGGTATACAGGTATACAGGTATACAGGTATACAGGTATACAGGCATACAGGTATACGGTTATACAGGTATAAAGGTATAAAGGTATAAAGGTATACAGGAATACAGGTATACAGGTATAAAACATAAAATGTAAAAAAAGTTCTACAATAAACTATAGACGTCATGTAAAGGAACATGTTGTGAAAAAAAATTAATCTTATCATCGAAAATAAGTAATCTTGTTCAATTTTATAGTTTCTACTTTCTCATTATTCACAAAGATTTGCGCAGATTTACTAGAATTATTATTGAAAAGACGACATTTGAAGATTTGAAGAAATCTGCGAATAAATTCAAAGAAAATAAGAAATTAATATAATAATGAAAACCAAATAATCGATTTTAGCATTGATTTATTGACAAATTTCTTTAGAGAAATATGTTCCTAAGCATCTAATTAGATTACTGTATAATTTTTACTTTATTTTTTGTTGTCGTTATTTAATAATTTTAAAAAAACTAATTCTGAAAACGTATCCACCTCCAAAGTAGGAGTTTTGAACGTCGAATTTGTGCTCAAACTCAGGCTTGACAGGTCTTTAAAAAGTTTAGTATGTCTCAAATGAATCCGAAAGAAGTTTTCCACAACACTGCATACTCAGTTCAACTACCTTACATAGCCGGTCACTCCCTTTAATAGATTTGTCTGAAGAAGTATGAATTACATATCGATGTTTATAATTAGAAAACTAATTATTTTCAATTGTCCGGTTTATCTACAATTATCTTCCAGATTATTTATAAGATCTAGGATAAACTGGGTTTCTTTGTTCATCGAGCATAGCCATCTTTGCACGGACAGTCACTTAAATTTACGCTTACATTCCCTTTAAGTGATTTCCTAGGTTGAAGTTGAAGAACCGGTTTGTGAAGAGAAAATAATAAAACCGGTTGGAGACCAGGCGGAAGACGACATTAAAGAGAAGACGACAGAACGCCCCCTAACAGCTACCTTACGGCCAGAAGACGTTAAAACTGATCAAATTAAAACTTCAGGTAAATTCGAATCACGAACATTACTTTTCTTTGAAGGTTGAGACATCAAGACGACTCTGAAGAATTGATTTAGTATTTGTGTCACATTCATGGGGTAATGTTACAACGTCTATACGCAACATCCTCTATACTGAACTTCCGCCCTACTAACTTTCTGACCTATTGCAATATCCAACCTACGACAGTTGTAGGTCGGTTCCACATTTTAATTTTTTAATCCGACCTACAGGCATGGTTCAGTTCTAGTCATGTGCATAGCGAGGTAAGATGTACTCTTTTTGTAGGTCGGATTTAAGCTCTTTTTGTAGGTCGGATGTACACTTTTTGTAGGTCGGATGTACATTGTTTGTAGGTCGGATGTACACTTTTTGTAGGTCGGAAGTACTGTTTGTAGGTCGGATGTGCACTGTTTGTATAGGTCGGATGTATGCACTTTTTGTAGGTCGGATGTACACTTTTTGTAGGTCGGATGTACTGTTTGTAGGTCGGATGTACACTGTTTGTAGGTCAGATGTACACTTTTTGTAGGTCGGATGTACACTTTTGTAGATAGGATATACACTTTTTGTAGGTCTGATGTACACTTTTTGTAGGTCGGATGTACACTTTTTGTAGGTCGGATATACACTTTTTGTAGGTCGGATGTACACTTTTTGTAGTTCGGATTTACTGTTTGTAGGTCGGATGTACACTGTTTGTAGGTCGGATGTACACTTTTTGTATGGTCAGATGTACACTTTTAGTAGATCGAATATACACTTTTGTAGGTCGGATGTACACTTTTTGTAGGTCGGATGTACACTTATTGTAGGTCGGATATACACTTTTTGTAGGTCGGATATACTCTTTTTGTAGGTCAGATGTAAAATTTTTGTAGGTTGGATGTACACTTTTTGTAGGTCGGATGTTCACTTTTTGTAGGTCGGATATACTCTTTTCGTAGGTCGGATGTTTGCTTTTTGTAGGTCGGATGCACACTTTTTGTAGTTCCGATGTACATAAAACATCTTGAACATGAAAACTTTAAACTTTTCTTCTCACAAGTGATATTTCAAGTCTAAATAATGTTCACTTATGTTAATGTTTACATACTTATCAGAATGCTTCTTCCTATATATATCTAAAAGATCGATATTACAAAAAGAAGTTGTTGAAAATACAATACAAAATTCAATGTGAAACTTTTCTATTCTCTGCTCATGCTTGTTATAATCTAAAAAATGTATGTCAGTTAAAATATTTCATTTTACTATAATAAACTTTTAGTTTCTAAAAGATGAGCAGAGACCCCAAGTGTTGTGATTTTGCAACTCTATAATTAAAAATGAAACATGAAGTTCTTCCCGTGATATTTACGAGAATTAAAATCTAAAAATTCTGGCATTGCATTACTCGAGTTTAACACGATAGGAATATGCAAGATCTTGCACTGGTTTATTTTGCTACGTCTACAACATGTTGTGTATTATTTCAGGGTTAGGTTAGGTTAAAACAATTTCTGAGCGAGCGCGGCTGCTTTTAGTTCAAATTTGAACATGAAAAAAGTTCAAATGAACAAAAAATAGTCTACAAATTTTTTGTTTCTGCAAACTATTTTTCATTTAGACTCATGAATTTATTTGAATTTATTTTTGAAACATCTGTTTTATGTTTAAGTGTAAATCCGACCTACAATTGATGACCATCCGACCTACAAAAGTGTACATCCGTCCTACAAAAGTGTATATCCGTCCTACAAATGCATATATCCGACCTACAAAAGTGTAAATCCGACCTACAAATGCATATATCCGACCTACAAATGTGTACATCCGACCTACAAATGCATATATCTGATTGTAAATCAGACCTACAATCGATGACCATCCGACCTACAAATGTGTAAATCCGACCTACAAATGTATATATCCGACCTACAAAAGTGTAAATCCGACCTACAATCGATGACCATCCGACCTACAAATGCATATATCCGACCTACAAAAGTGTAAATCCGACCTACAATCGATGACCATCCGACTTACAACTGCATATATCCGACCTACAAAAGTGTAAATCTGACCTACAATCGATGACCATCCGACCTACAAATGTGTACATCCGACCTACAAATGCATATAGATCCGACCTACAAAATGGTAAATCCGACCTACAATCAATTTGACCATCCGACCTACAAATGTGTGCATCCGACCTACAAATGCATAAATCCGATCTTAACAAAAGTGTAAATCCGACCTACAATTTCGATGACCATCCGACCTACAAATGTGTACATCCGACCTACAAATGCATATATATTCGACCTACAAAAGTGTAAATCCGACCTACAATCGATGACCATCCGACCTACAAATGTGTAAATCCGACCTACAAATGCATATATCCGACCTACAAAAGTGTAAATCCGACCTACAATCAATGACCATCCGACCTACAAATGTTTACATCCGACCTACAGTAGGTCGGATCAAACAAAAGTTTTTTGAATTAAGGTGCAACTGACCTATAGTTTAACAGACCTACAGCAGCTAAAAAACAGCTGGAAAACCACGTGGAAGTAGGTCAGAAGTGTAATATAGAGGATATGCGTAGGTCGAAAAATACACCACCCATTCATGGCACTAGTCGTAGTGTTAAATCAAAATTCAACCTCCAGAAAGTTGTATCTAAATGATCTCAATGTATCTAAGTGATATCAACGGTTATTTTGAAACAGATTATTTATCACACAAGTTGGATTTCGTCTTCTGTCTTAAATTTATTTTAATAATCTAATTTATGATTTTTGAAAGATGGAAATATAAGATCTTAAAAACAAAGACCGAAATAATTCCGTACAGTCGTCTCTGTAGTCTGTTCTTTGGAGGGGGCCCAGTGGTGTCCAAGTTTATTTGATTACTCACATTGTTATCCACAAATGATGAGTCTTCAGTGACGACTGCACGGACATTAAACTGTCTTTTGTAGTTATGATTCCTTGCAGCTGTAAGATTACAGAATTCAAAACAGAACTCACAATTTAATCTTAAGGTTGTCATATTTTAAGAGTTTCAGTTCGTCTTTACAGTCTAATGCTTTGTATAGAACTAATATCCGAAATATTGACAAGATAAGACACACATTTTTTTAAGATATTTTTTTTCTATTTTAGATATTTTGGAGTGGTTTATACCCAACTAACTTGATTTATTAAAGGTAGAGGAAGACCAGCTCGGAGAAGCTCAATGAAAATGAATCCTAAAACTCCGGAACAAGGTAATAAATGAAAATGAAATTATCGTCTCGTAAACTTTTTCAGAAACTAATTTCCAAAAGTGTTTAATGGTTTATCATTATTAAAAAATGGCAAAAAAGGTAATGTCTGATTCACAATGGTACTCTTGAAAGCTTTGTCTGATCAAGTACGATTTACATATAACTATTTATAATTTTGAAAACTGCTTATTTTCCACTATGGTTTCTTTACAAAAGGTACTTGCGCATTTCTACATAGTGCAGGAAAACACATAGGAATTGTCACAAATTAACACTTTTAAACCTTTAAAAACCACATTATTTATGAGAGGTTCCAAGAACAACGTAAGAATTGTAAATCTCTTGATCACAAAGCTAAGAATCATGATTATTGTAATCTGTTCTTCATGGCTCTAAAGTTTGTTCTGTCTGGAACTAAGTTGCAGGAGGAGGAGGGGGGGGGGAGTAATTCCCCCATGGTCGGGTCTAAACATGATACTAGGTAGTTACTGGGGGAATTTAACCAGGAAAATTAACGACTTTTCAACCTAAATATTTTCCTCAATAAATTCTTAAGGAGTCTCTTTCTTAAAGTTAAAAAGGATTAGAATTATTCAATATAGCATTTTAGAGGTCAAAACTTTTATTTTATTAAGGTTAATTCCTTACAAAATAAATAATCCGGTGGCCGAATTTAAAGAATTTGAGCGGCGGTTTAAATTTAAGCCACGGCTTAAATATGGTTGGTTCCACTTAAAATTGTATCAAATGTTTCAAGATTTAAGCCGGCGCTTAATATAAACCGGGTTTTGGCAGATTTAAACCGCGGCTTAAATTCTTTAAATTGCATCTCGGAAAAGATAATTTAGAAAATTGTCAGGATTTGAGTCTTACCTGCATCAAACATACATTTCTAATCCCCAAAACTTTGCAACCGGATGGCGTAGACCTTTGAAATGTCAAAATTAGATTATTTTAGCTAACAAAATTCATAAATTGAAAAATTTAAGGTCTACAACAATGGGTTGCAAAGATATAGGGAAAAGAATCAAGGTTTGTGGAAAAGACTCGATTCCTTTCTAACCATTTCAAAGATTCAAATACAGGGTGTCCCGCGAAACATGACAATTGATACATAGTTATGAATGTTGTGTTCCATATACTCTTGTTTATATCCAATAAACGTCAACACGGCTAAACTGTACTCTCTTAATTCTAGTTTGTATCCAATAAACGTCAAAACGGCTAAAATGTACTCTCTTATCTCTGGTTTATATCCAATAAACGTCAAAACAGCTAAACTGTACTCTCTTATCTCTGGTTTGTATCCAATGAACGTCAACACGGCTAAACTGCACTCTCTTATCTCTGGTTTGTATCCAATAAACGTCAAAATGGCTAAACTGTACTCTCTTATCTCTGGCTTGTATCCAATAAACGTCAAAACGGCTAAACTGTACTCTCTTATCTCTTGTTTGTATTCAATAATCGTCAAAACGGCTAAACTGTACTCTGTTATCTCTGGTTTGTATTCGATAAACTTCAAAACAGCTAAACTGTACTCTCTTATCTCTGGTTTGTATCCAGTAAACGTCAACACGGCTAAACTGTACTCTCTTATCTCTGTTTTGTATCCAATAAACGTCAAAACGGCTAAACTGTACTCTGTTATCTCTGGTTTGTATCCAATAAACGTCAAAACGGCTAAACTGTACTCTCTTATCTCTGGTTTGTATCCAATAAACGTCATAACAGCTAAACTGTACTCTCTTATCTCTGGTTTGTATCCAATAAACGTCAACACGGATAAACTGTACTCTCTTGTCTCTTTTTTGTATCCAATAAACGTCTAAATGGCTAAACTGTACTATCTTATCTCTGGTTTGTATCCAATAACGTCAAAACAGCTAAACTGTACTCTCTTATTAGAAGTTTAAATCGAAGATGAGCGCGAAGCACCCTGTCCCTGGACGCCTAGTAATGGCAGACAAAGCTTCATCATGACTTTTAACTGGCTGAAGGCATTCTCAAAAGTACAAAAACAATGTTTAGATTTCTCTTTAACTATATAAGTTTCGTTTCTAAAGCAAAATATTCGCGTGATCATTGCATTTATATCTTAAAGATAATGTTTAATGTCTCGGGAATTTGAAATTAACGGACCTTTGATATTTCAAACCTTAAATTCTGCAATAAATCAAATAGATGAGAAAGGTAGGAGTTTAAAAATGGTTTATTTTGCGACCAAGAAATTAGTTGGTGCAATTGGGAGTGATTGTTAAGTTTGTGATGAAAGATTTCATGTATTTAGAAAAGTTAGAGTTTAAATTGAATTATCTAAGAAAAATCGCTTCTGAAGTTATTGTAGAACAGTAGGACAGTAGAACAATAGAACAGTAGAACAGTAGAACAGTAGAACAGTAGAACAGTAGAACAGTAGAACAGTAGAACAGTAGAACATTAGAACAGTAGAACAGTAGAACAGTAAAACAGTAGAACAGTAGAACAGTAGAACTAAAGAAAATATCATAAACCAGTCTTAATAGTTTTTCCCCATGCAATCATCAAATTAGGGGTTCAGGGCACTTTACAAATACTGTAAATGAAAACAATTTAAATAGTGAGCAAGGAAAAATGAACAAGATTAAAATTCAATTCCTTAATTTACTTAATAATCAAGATTGCAATGCCTTCTAAAGGCAATGCAAATTGCATTTAAGAAGTTTTTAAACGATTTTCAATATTGTTTCAGTCATTTAGATGTTCAAGTTTTTATTTTAGATAAAAGTTAACATTTTTATTTTTATTTTTATTGTTCTGAAATTTATATTTCATGGTTTCTTGTGATTAGACATCGATCAAATGTAAACAATTATCAATTTATTTTTCATATTTAGAATAACAAGGGCCAATTAACAGTATTCATCTGTTATTTTTAAAGTTTAAAAACGGAGAGTTTGCTTTAAATATTTTTTTTAAATTTAATTAAAAGTGTTTAAAATATACTTACGTCTCTTACTCTATTTTTGACGGATCTTGAATGAGAGATAAAAATATGGCTGAAAATATTCCAATACAGACAGGATGTACTTCGTTAGTTTTACGTGACAGAGGGAGGGAAGGCACAACACATCATTTTTTCCTCCGGACCATAAATACGTTCCAACTCACTAGTATTCTTTCCGACCACACCTTTTTTCATCCAGGCGTTGCTTCTTTGCGTTCAACTGTATTTTGTCTCTTATAACACTATTTTTCAAATTTAGGGAACGTCATGTTATTCAACATGGGTTTATTTTGTTTAAAATGCATTTAAAAAAAAAATCGAATTTGCGAGCCTCACCTATTTTTCGTCCGGACCTCAGACTTTTATGTTGTTTTGGAGTTTTAAAAAACAAACTTTTGCCTAACAGTTATCTTCCTACTCCATAGTTTTATGGGTCTCACTGTATCATATCAATTTGTTTCCTTATCTGGGAAGCCATCAAAAGTGAATCGTAACAACGTAATATATTCTTTTTAAAGTAAATTAAACTAGAGGTATTTAGGTTGAAAGAAGGAAATAATCGGTTAAAACTTTTTATTTTTCGTCTCCCCCCCCCCCCCCAACCTCTCATAAATATTTGAAAACAAAACAATTAAACGGGGAATTTGATAAGAAACTTCATTCTAAAGGGTCATCATTTAAAAACGAGGGTGCAGGAAAGAATCCAAGAAAAGTCCAAGAAAGTATTTAGAAAAAAAAAGTTCTCGAAATAAAAACACTTAAAAAAAGTCCGAAATTTACTCAAGTCCTTTGAAAAAAGTCATGGGAAAAAGTCATACTAATTTTAACAGAGACTTATGTATCGGATAAATAAACATTTTATTTCCTTCAAAATAATTTGCAGTACATTTGCAGTACATTTGCAGTACATTTGCAGTACATTTGCAGTACATTTTTATGACTTATTTCCGCAAGACTTATTAGTGCCAGAAATTAGAAATTTTTTCAAAATACTTTTTTGATTGTGACTTTATTAAATGTTATCACTGGGAACACCATGGGGAATTTCTCTGAGGTTATGTTTCACAGAAATCATACTGTGCTTCTTTTTTTACCAACTCTTTTTTTATTTTATTTTTTTTTGGGGGGGGTTGGATTTTTCAATTATCGTTCAATAGAAACACCGGATAGAATCAAAAATAGTTCTATTAAATTTATAATTTATTTTTGTTTGGTACGTACACTCCTTTTTAAAATGTAAAAAGTTTACTAAAAAAGTTTTCTGAAATAAAGGCCTCAGTTTTAGCACTGAAAAACTTCTGTGGAAAAAAAGTCGTAGAAATAAAAAGTCTCTGAAAAAAATCCTACCATTTTGAGACTTTATTTTCTGGGATTTATTTTGGTTCCAGGATTATTTTATACAAAAAAAGTCCTCTTGTAGTGGAAAATGTGTGGGAACAAAGAATGTTTTCAAATGAAAAAAGGGTCTTGATATTAAAATAACACCTGGCAAAATTCAATTATTTCAGGAAAAAGAGTCCCAGGAATTTAAAACTCAGGATTTATTTCTAGTGACATTTTCTCCTAGGACTTTATTACCAATGCTTTGATTTCCAGGAACTCTTTTTATGAGACTTTCTTACATAGATCCTTTTTTCAAAAACGCCGGTCAACTCATTTTTCATAATCTATCTAATAAACATCATTTTCCTCTGGTTTTCTATGAAAGCAAAGTGCATTTATTGGAAATATTTATGGCTCAATAATAATGAATGAAAAATAGATAAAAGTTAGATACTAAAGCTTTTCTTTAAAGCTTTGTAATTATTTCGTGTACTTAAATTCAAACAATCCAACCCAATAAATCAACCAAACAGCAAAAAACATGACAGTCGTCTTTATCTCATTTTTCGTTGTGTGTTAAAGGGTGTGAATGAAAATTATAAAAAACGTGAATCAAAATATCAAAATTTTCACGATAAAAGAAACAATTAGAAAGAATTTCGACTTGGACAACTTTATGAAAAGAATTATTTATCTGCTTAGAAATTTAATTTTCTAGAAAAGGTCGACTCATAATACCCCATAAACGCCCTTTGAGGCGTTGCAGACTGCAATTGGGGACGAGTGCTACGGCTTGAATGGGCTATGGGGCTGAACGCCGCGACTAGAACAGGATGGGGCCGAGCGCTGCGGCTAGGACAGCCTCGGATAATTGCATATTTGGGAAGTTGCCACTTTGGAAAATACCCTTTGAAAGTTGTCACTTGGGAAAATACCTTTTGGAAGTTGCCACTTTGGAAAAATCCTTTGGGAAAGTACCTAACATCGAAAAAATGTACATGCCAAGAAAGAGAACCATCTTGAAGCGTTGAATTATGTATAAAGCTGAAAACAAAAGATATTCAGCGTTAAGGGACCTAGATTAAGGAACCTAGATTAAAGGACCTAGATTAAGGAACCTAGATTTAGGGACCTAGATTTAGGGACCTAGATTAAGGGACCTAGATTATGGAACCTAGATATAGGGACCTAGATTAAGGGACCTAGATTAAGGGACTTAGATTAAGGAACCTAGATTAAGGGACATAGATTTAGGGACCTAGATTAAGGGACCTAGATTAAGGGACCTAGATTAAGGGACCTAGTTTCAGTGAAATAGATTAAGGGACCTAGATTAATGGGAACTATAGATCGCGTTTCATAAATTGGAGATCGAGGTCGCTAAACTCCCTACCCGTACCGCCTGAATCAAATCCTGAATCTTTAACTTTAAATCGAAAATTAAGGATTTAAACCGGTGTTAGGTAATTCAGCGACCTTTCTCCAATTTATTAAATTCCGCCCCTGGACCCTGCTAAAAGTGAGCGTTTTTTTTACCTAAGTGTCTAAAGTTTGAAGACGTGCAGCTTTTTGCTCCAACCGCCATCAGGTCTTTGTAAAATTTGTTTTCAGTTATATGTATTTAAATAAAGTAGTCATCTTTGTTTGGCTGTCTGTTTGTTTCTAAGGATAGAGAATAAAACATGACTCTTTTTAGGTAGAAAGTTACTATTTACGTCTACAATGCCTTTAAAGTCCTAGCTACGGGCCTTTCATTATTTTCTGTACAACTTTGCAAAAACTTTTTGCACAAACAAAATAACGATATGGCTGTATAGTTTCAGGCTTAGAACTTGATTAGGTTAGAAGGGTGCCGAAATACAATGCAGTGTAGCCCACAAAGGATGAGACTGAAAAGACGACTGAAGGGCGTACATATTGGGGAACCCTGAGTCCAAACTTGAAACAGTGAAACCCGGTGTCTTGAAGGGAATTAAGATGTCGCCTTTCCATTATTTAGGGGTTTTTCGTTCACAATAACCCTGAGGCTGAAGCCTAAAGGAGTTACGCGCATGCCGCGTTGAATGACAGAAAGAGAGGATTGGACATGAGGGGTCATATTTAAAGCATTTTTAACAGCTAAGACTTTAAAAAAATTAGATCGGTCATAGTTTTATGATTTTAGCTGGCTTATTCTGGTAATAATGTTCATAATTATATTAGAATATATATTATATGTTTTATTTTGATAAATTACCTTGACATATTATTGGTTAAAGAACAAACCTCTGGGAAACTTTTAATAGCTTTATATAATATAGAGTTCATGAGAGTTAATATAGAGTAGTTCATAGAGTAGTATATATTATAGAGGTGTTCATAGAGTAGTATATATTATAGAGGTGTTCATAGAGTAGTGTATAGTATAGAATTGTTTAAAGAGTAGTATATATCATTTGATATTATTCAAAGTCATAGTTACTCCTGCCATTTACCCGCGCTTGGTATTAAATAAAATATTGATTTTAGCTGAAATACCCTTGGAATCGAAAAAATCAAAATTTTGTTAGCCTTTCTTATGGGTTCCCCGAAAGATGTCAGCCATACTGTCTCTGTGGAAAGGGTGGCAAGCTTTTTTTGTCTAATAAACTTAGGTTTTTTGTGCTAAAAAGTGCTTCTAGTAGGTACTATGTCAATGATTTAAAAAATCATGTTATCATGTCATATAATATAAAGATACCAAGCTCATTTTCGAATATTAGTAGGGTTTTACTTGCGCGCAATTGCGGGCCCTGTAAATTCCGCGAAATTCCGTGCAATTCCGCACAATTCCGCACAATTCCGCACAATACGAGAACAGTTGCGAGCTATACCGCCCAGTTGCGCGCAATTCCGCGCAACGGAATTCCGATTGGAAACCCTAAATATTAGGCCTACTTTTGAAGGTTAAAACGGCATTTTAGAGCAAAATGTTTCATTGGTAAAAAGGCCTCAACCACACAGTTTTCTGAGACACCATGTATAATTTATATTCTATAATTTAGGTCGAATGCCTAATAGGTCTGCAAACTCTATGACAAGAAGTACCAGCGAATCTAGTAATATTGTTCATGGTATTTTTTAACACATTTTAGTTTAACACAAAATTTGTCGATGGACATAATATTATGCAAAATTTAAGTGTTTTACAGGTTGATGAATAGATAAAGAATCAAGATTTTTTTTATAAAAATGTTTTGTTATATTTTAATTGTAATTTTCAGAGCGCTGTGTGCGCGCCTTTTTCCTTCTTTAGCTATTAATTGTTGCTCTGATAGTGTCCATTTTTAATTTTCAAATTTTGGAGGATTTTTATATTTAAATTGGCAGATTTTCAAAAATAAATATTGTCTAACTTTTTTTCCAGGCATAATTGTCCAACTTTGACAGTCCATAGACTTTCCCTGGGGTGATGTGAGTTGCCGTAAAAAATGTTTACACCGATCGGTTCAGCCGTTTTGACGTTTATTGGATACAAACAGACAAACAAGCAAACTATACATATATATAGGATAAAAATAATAGTTAATATGATTTTTTTGTATGCATAGATTCCTGCTCTAGCCGACCACAGTCTAAATCTCGTCCCACCAGTCGGGAACGGAAACGTGAGTCCATATTTAAAATATCCACGTGTTGATTCTTAAATTGGAGAAACGACGCCATTTTTTTCCGGAAACAAAAATTCAAAATGGAATTTTTTCCATAAAATTGAAATTCTTTTTCAAAAATCACCATTTAAAAATAAATTTATATTTAACGAATTTACTTTTTTAGGGCACATAATAAACTACGAGGTTCCAGATATTAGCAAGGTAACATAAAAAAACATTAAAACTAGAAAATTGTAAATTTTCCTTCTTTGTAAATAAAGGTTTTTATTTTCGCAAATAAAAATGCAAAAATGAAAATGTATAAAAATGGAGGTTTTAAAACGAAAACGAAAGAAAAAAGAATTAATTTTCTAATTTTAACCAATTAACTTTAAGAAGTGGTGGTGGTACAATATCATTGAACATGGGGGCTAAAAATAAGTTGAGCGTTTAAATTACAAAAATTGAGTTTGGTGTGTGTGTGTTACGGGGGGGGGGGAGTCTATAAAGATGACTATTGACCAGTAAGATTTTATACAATGCAATTAGCATCTAAAATAAAACAAAAATTTAAATATCATTACAAATCATAAAAAAATGAAATTTACAATAAAAAATCAAAAAAAAAAACAAGAACTGCTTTATTGTTTATTTTGTCCCTTCACTACTTTATTAAACTGATTTATGAAATAGGATTATCTGATCTTCCGAACTGTTGGATTTAATTAGACATTAGACATTAGACATTAGACATTTGACATTGGACATTAGACATTAGACATTAGACATTAGACATTGGACATTTGACATTAGACATTAGAAATTAGACATTAGACATTAAACATTAGACATTAGACATTAGACATTAGACAATAGACATTTAACATTAGACATTAAACATTAGACATTAAACATTAGACATTAGACATTAGACATTAGACATTAGACATTAGACATTAGACATTAGACATTAGACATTAGACATTAGACTTTAGACATTAGAAATTAGACATTAGACATTAAACATTAGACATTAGACATTAGACAACAGACATTAGACATTAGACAATAGACATTTAACATTAGACATTAAACATTAGACATTAAACATTAGGCATTAGACATTAGACATTAGACATTAGACATTAGACATTAGACATTAAACATTAGACATTAGACATTAGACATTAGATAATAGACTTTGAACATTAGACATTAAACATTAGACATTAAACATTAGGCATTAGACATTAGACATTAGACATTAGACATTAGACATTAAACATCAAACATTAGACATTAGACATTAGACATTAGACAATAGACAATAGAGAATAGACATTAGACATTAGAAAAATAATATCTTTAGGTTAAAGGAAAAGTAGACAATACGAACCCTGCATATAAACCTCCCTCTTCCAGTAAAAAAATAGGTGATGAATAATAAAAAATTATGATAACAATAATAATAATCATAATAATAATAGTAATAATAATAATAATAATAATAATAATAATAATAATAATAATAATAATAATAATAATAATAATAATAATAATAATCATAATAATCCCCCTCCCCTGTTGTCCTTGAATGAATTAAACACAGTGCTAACGACGCGCACTGTTGCACAAACAATGGTTGACTGCTGCATTTCTGCGCCCAGGGATTCCGTTGCACTTTAAAGGAGACATTAACGCGCTTTCACACAGTCAACTGATTAGGGCTGGGTCCAAAAGATTATTATTCATAATAAATTGTTTGATGTAGTTTTTATCAATTAAAATCTAATTCTCATGATAAATGATATTTTCAAAATTACTAAAATTCACTTATGAGATTATTTTGTTTTCAATAACATTCGTTATCTATATGAGAGAACCGGTTATTTTTGTATCGCCGTCATTACCCAAGTAACAAAAGTGAGGAATTTCCCCAGATTCTCCAACCCTGGTGACTTTCTTTAAAGAATTTCCGAGGAATTTCTCGAGAATCATTTCCTGTAACTGAATCCTCGGAAATTCTCGAGAAATTCCCTAGAATTGGTCCCCAAGATGAGAGATTTTTGTGGGATCACAGTTTTGTGACTCAGTTTGGAGAAATTCCTAAGGAATTCTTCGGAATTTTTTCTCACGAAATTCCTCAGAATTTCTCCAGTATACTTCTTTGGAAATTCATGAGAAATGTTTAGGTTTTGGTCACCATGTTTACAGATTTTTAGGGGAATTTATTAAGAGAATTAGTTTCGAGAAATTCCTGAAAATTTCTCCGGAATTTCACCCCAAGAAATTCCTGCGAAATTCTCCTGTATGCTTTTCCGGAAATTATTGAGAATTTCTCAGGACTTGGTCATCAAGTTTATGGATTTTTAGGAAAATCAAATAAGAGAATAAGTTTCGAGAAATTCCTGAGAATTTCTTTGGAATTTTTCTCAAGAAATTTCCCAGAATTTCTCAGGAATATTTCTCATTTTTTTATTTTTCTTGATATTTCAGTTGTCTGAATAAACAAAATACATGAAAACTTCAGTAAGATCAAAACGACTTAAACATTCTGACTTAAGAAGATACTTAAGAAGATACTTCTAAAAAGTTGGAGGGGCAGTATAGTTGTTAATGTATTCACAATTATTGAGCCTAAGTCTTGGTTAGTGAATTTACTCAGGAATTTGCTCAGAATATTTCAAGATATTCTTGAGAAAATCTTGGGAATAATTACCTGTAAATTCCCAGGAATTGGTTCTAAAGAACTTTTCTCTGGAAATTCCCAAGAATTTCCACAAATTTTGTCGATATTTTCTCTGGTTTTTCTTCAGAATTGGTAACGAGAAATTCCCTGGAATTGGTTACAAGAAATTCCATGGATAGAGTTATGAGAATGGGAAATGGGACAGTTTACACTGCATAATTTATTCGACTATTCAAAGTTATAGCTTGAGTCTAAAAGTCGTCTTCCTATTGCAGAGTTTTCTGGTTTTCATTTTGACTCAAAAAAGTGGAAAAAACATGGATCTTTAATTAAATTACCCCTATCAAAGCCAAAACGCAAAAGATTGAGAATGGAAAAATGTAATGTCTGCAATGTGCAAATAATAATGTGAATAGCACAAATTGAAAATTACAAGCTGTTATGATGTAAAGTGCATTGAATATTGAATAAACTGATAAATAGCTGTTCAATTAGACTTATGATCTATCGTAAATAAACCTTTATAATAAGTGCAATAACCGATGACGTTGATATCATAATTAATTTGATAAGGGGGATACAGAAAAATCATAATACAGAATACAGGCTATAGGATATAAGAAACAGGATACAGGGCATAGAATACAGGATACAGGATACAGAATACAGGCTATAGAATATAAGAAACAGGATACAAGGCATAGAATACAAGATACAGGATACAGGATAAAGAATACAGGATACAGAATACAGAACACAAGTCACAACAGTATCAGACTGCAGGTTGTGCAAGTTATATTATTAAAAACTAGATCCTAGACTTGAATATAATTGATCCTGAAACTAATTAAGTGTCTAGTTGCTTGTATTGCATGAAAAGGAATCTAGGTCAATAGATTATTCACTGTACTTCAGGAATATAAACAAATGCAATACATTCTTTCAACCAACCCAACTTTTTTAAACCAAGGGAACAATGTTAAAAACATTCTTTTAACCAACCCAACATTTTTTAAACCAAGGGAACAATGTTAAATACATTCTTTCAACCAACCCAACATTTTTTAAACCAAGGGAACAATGTTAAATATATTCTTTCAACCAACCAACCTTTGTTAAACCAAGGGAACAATGTTAAATACATTCTTTCAACCAACCAACCTTTGTTAAACCAAGGGAACAATGTTAAATACATTCTTTCAACCAACCAACCTTTTTTAAACCAAGAGAACAATGTTAAATACATTCTTTCAACCAACCAACCTTTTTTAAACCAAGGGAACAATGTTAAATACATTCTTTCAACCAACCAACCATTTTTAAACCAGGGGAAAAATGTGAAAGGGACTGTAAGCGTGGTTTCAAGTACCCTAGTCCTGATAAACCCTTTATATCTGATCAATGATGATTTGATCGCTTGTCTAGGTTTAAAAGTGTTTAGTTTTGATAATTCATACATGTTTTCCAGCAGTAAAAATCCGCAACCCAACCATGCTGTTGAAAATAATCAGTTTTTTAAATTCTATACATTGTTTTCTTTCTCATACTTGATCATCAGACAAAGCTTTAAAGGGTGAATCGGGTATTGTCATCTTCGTAAAGAGGTTCACTTGAAATTACACACTCAGTCCCTTTAACAACTGTTAAATCTCCCCCTCCTGAAAACTATCAAGACTTATTTAACAATTTCTTTTTTCCGATATAGAAAATTGAACACCGGAAGTTAGAGTGGCAAGCGGAAGCTAAGATATCCTGCACCAACCCCGGATACGCACCTTCTAAATCCCCAGAAAAAAAGGTGAAAATAATGCTTCACGTATATTTTTTAAAACTTTTTATTCTTTGATCTGGACAGCTGGTCTTGTCGTTCATCTGTATTCTTGTTTAATTATTTAGATTCTTATTCAAATAAAAAAACAAACATTTTACTCAATTTAACAAAATATTTAGATATTAAAAGATAATTTTAAATAACAATATGAAAATTCCTAAAATTCTTAGAATTGTAAAAAAAAAGTAAATATTTTTTTAATCATTTTTCACTGCATTTTATAAAAAATCGTTTTATCAAATAAGATTAAAAAATTGTATCAAAGAAATTTAATCATTCTCCCCCCCATAAATTTGCCAAAATGATAACATCATTAAACTCACAAGAAAACAAAATCACAAAAAAGTTATTTTGACAAAAATTTTAATACTTGAAATAAACGACTCTTCAGATTAATCGTGAAATTATAATTCAAATCCGAAGTTTGATTATGGGTTGTTATAAAGACAGAGGTTTCATTATTTTAACTTAAATCAGTTTAAAAAGCTGAAAATTGTAATTTGTATAAAAGTAAAGCATTAGGTTTGGAATAAACCGTAACATCAAAAAGAAAACAATTATTACAAATTATCATTTAGTATTTAATAGGAAATCAATAAGAAAATAAAAGTGTATTGGAATTACAAAGTCAAAACAATTGTATTTCTTAATAAAATAGTAAATAAATGTTTTTAAGTGTGATTGTATCAATCCTTGGGATTGTATCAATCCTTGGGATTGTATCAATCCTTGGGATTGTATCAATCCTTGGGATTGTATCAATCCTTGGGATGGTATCAATCCTTGGGATTGTATCCATCCATGGGATGGTATCAATCCTTGGGATGGTATCAATCCTTGGGATTGTATCAATCCTAGGGATTGTATCAATCCTTGGGATTGTATCAATCCTTGGGATTGTATCAATCCTTGGGATGGTATCAATCCTTGGGATTGTATCCATCCATGGGATTGTATCAATCCTTGGGATTGTATCAATCCTTTGGATGGTATCAATCCTTGGGATTGTATCCATCCATGGGATTGTATCAATCCTTGGGATTGTATCAATCCTTGGGATTGTATCAATCCTTGGGATGGTATCAATCCTTGGGATGGTATCAATCCTTGGGATTGTATCAATCCTTGGGATTGTATCAATCCTTGGGATTGTATCAATCCTTTGGATGGTATCAATCCTTGGGATGGTATCAATCCTTGGGATTGTATCAATCCTTGGGATTGTATCCATCCATGGGATTGTATCAATCCTTGGGATGGTATCAATCCTTGGGATGGTATCAATCCTTGGGATTGTATCAATCCTTGGGATGGTATCAATCTTTGGGATTGTTTCAATCCTTGGGATGGTATCAATCCTTGGGATTGTATTTAATCCTTGGGATTGTATCCTTGGGATTGTATCCTTGGGATTGTATCCTTGGGATTGTATCCTTGGGATTGTATTACTCTTTGGGATTATTTAAATCTTTGAGTTTATATCAATTAATGCAGGATATTTATAAATCATTGGGATAATATGTCAACCCTAAAGATTGCTTCAATTCACGGATTGTATACATTTTTGGGATTGTATCAATTATGTCAATTAAGTCAGTTTTGCGATGCATCAAAATTATAAATATCCATGTTTTTTCGATGTAGATTTGAATAAAAATGTTTCGTGCGTCATTCTTGTTTTTAGTCTAATTCAACTTGAGGAATGTAAAAACTAGGGCAAAGGTCTTAACTTTGAGAATTGAGTTGTTTTACCCAAATAGTCCTAGAAAAACATTAATTTTACCACAAAATACCAGTTTTGGTAAATGTAAGTTTTTGAACGTTTAGTTATTGAGCGGGTTCTAAAAGTGAATACAGTATATATTGAATAAACAAGTTTATCAACTAGTATGCTACTGAATCCATGATATTTACATTGCATCCCTAGGAATGTAATGTTGCAATGTTACATTCTCCCTGGTTTCAGGGTTGCAATGTAACAAAGTTGACAATTTACGCACCTTTTCATTCACGTGACCTGTTAAACCTTCTTCTGTTTTCATTGCATCCCTATTGTCCCCCTGTCTGTAACGAAGAGATAAATATTTAATTTTTTTTTCTTTTAAGATTATTATATCTATGGATTATTATCGCAGAAGATGCATAAAACAGCATTGGGGGGGGGGAGAAAAATCAAGTACAACCATATGAAAATTTGCTCAAAAAGAGGTCGGATTTTTTTAATAGGAAGAAGTAGTTGAACTAGGCTTTGAACTACTTATCCAAATCTGGTTAAACCAATTCTAAGTATTCATACAATCCGACCTTTGAGTTTGAAATTATTAAAAAAACAGAAAGAAGTTGAGCTTCTGACGGATATTTCAACTATTTTTCTAGTGCCCCACAGATCAAATCTTTTTTGTTTAAGTAAATTTTTTTGGGCACTAGAGAAACAGTTGAACCAGTCATAACAACTTTAACTACATCTCTCTCGTTTAAATAATCTAATTTATTACAAGTTTCTAGTGAATAATTAATTAGTCCTCTGCACCAGGACCATTAATAATTCATTAAATATTGACCAAGGGACAAATATATAAACTGACAATTTTTAAAAATAGCGGTTCATAAAAATAAAAACTTTTAAGTCGATTTTTAGTTTTTTATTAGGTTCAATTATCGTTTCTGTTCGAGTTAAAACTCGATTTCTTATTTTATCCATTTTCGGTCCGATAATTCTAAATCTTATTTCAGGTTGTGCAGACGACCAAGTTAAACTGGAAATCAGAGTCGAAAATAGATAGTCGACTCTCGGAGGTTCATGCGACAAGATCGGCGTCTACACGGAGATCGAAGATCGATCTATCGAAGTCGGAACATGATCTTCGACCGGCCACGGTTTCTGACTCTGGTCGAGGAGTTAAACATAACTCGGAGAGTTCTAGTTAAATGAAATATGCGGCTCCGAGAGTTCTGCAGATAATATACTTTTCTCTCAGAGTTTTAGTCGATTAAATATTTATATGTATAGCTCAGATAGTTCCAGGTAACTAAACCTGGATAGTTACATTTTATCTATTTTAATTTCACGAATCTCCTTCAAAATTGATTAAAAAACTATCAAAATTTTATTCCAGGGAATAGATTAAAATTAACTCTGAAAAAAACTTAGAAATATGATTGACTACTGATGAATATGATAGTTTTAATGAATTAAACGTCACTCTTAGAATCTAAGCGTTCTTTTAAATCAAACATAAATCTGAAAGCTCTATCTTATAATACAATTCTGAGCTTTCTTTAGAAGCTTTCGTAGCGTTCTTGTTACTTGAATATAACTCTGAACCTTTATGTTCACCAAATATAACTCTGAACCTAAATGTTCACCAAATATAACTCTGAACCTTAATGTTCACCGAATATAACTCTGAAATCCTTTTCTCTGAGAACTCTGAGTAATATAACTCTGAAACTCCTTTTAACTCTGAGCGTTCTTATTATTTGAATATAATTCTGAAACTTCTTTTTTAAGCTCTGAGCGTTTTTGTTCAGTAGATAAAACTCTGAGGGGTTTGGCTAGTTCAATATAAGTGAAAAAGTTTTGTTTTCAAACGAATAGTCTATCTGAGAATACTTGTCTAGATTTTAAATTTTAGTAAATTAGTTTCCTAAAAATTATTGACATTGTAAAAAACATTAATTCTTCTGTTTTATGTCAAACCTAAAGTTAAAAATTAATCAAAATTTGTAACGAAATCTGTATAAATTTAAATAATAATAGTACACTTATCATTATATTTTTTAGTTTATTACAAATAGTAGCAAAAAAAACAATTATCATTTATCTAGAAAAAGTATCTTTATATTATTTCTAATTTTTAATTTAATTTTTTGTCGTCAAAATATTTTTTAGTTTATCAAATAAATATTGTTTGTACGTTAACTTAACGTATTTATTTGAAGTGTAAATACAAATATTTTGTTAAACAAAGATTTCCTATTCCTAAGCATTTTGTCAATAAACATCAAAACTTGAAATAAATTTTTTTTCTATTTAAAATTCAATATTTACAAAAAAAACTTTAAAAACTATTTAAACAAAAGCTTTATAAAATTTGTTCAAACTAAATTAAAAAACAACCTTGGATATTTTATAATTAAAACTTGTTTACTATAAACATTTTAATTTGCAAAATTTAAAAAAGTATTTACTATAGCTGTGCAGGTTTTATTATAAACAATTGGTCTCATAAAACAATATTTGCAGTCCTGTTTCAATAATAAACCTTGGTTTTGCTTTCAGTTTAATCCAAGTATTCAAATCTAATTTTTATACATCAAAACAAAAGTAGCGATTTAATTACGTCTACGGTCTACGTGTTTACGTGGTTCAAATACTTCTTTATTTAAACTTCGAGAAGGAACAAAAAGGAAAGACACAATGAGACAATGGGGTTACATTATCAAATGTTTTTAGTGCAAGAATTTTGTTTTCAGAATATGCCGTATCTACTATCTATACATAGAAAGTTGTAATCTCTGTTTGTTTGCATATCCTATCATAACTCAGGAACCCCTTCACCGATTTGCTTCAAATTCAAATTGGGACATTCTGTAGAACCGCAAGAATGTTTTTAGTATGGTTTTAATATTCTATGTTGCGTGGATCGACCTCTGTAGGGGAAAATAGCAACAATCATGATTTAAGACCAAGTGCAGATAAACGTCCAGAGTAAGAGTAACTTTAAGTAACCTGAGGCTGAATTTTAAGAATTTGAGCCGCGGCTTAAATTTAAGCTGCGGCTCAAATATGGTCGGTTCCACTTTAGATTGTATTCCATTTTCAAGATTTAAGCCGGTTTTTGGGAGATTTGAGACTGGGCACGCCGAGTTCCCAAGCTAGTTTATTATAAAAATGCATGGATATAAATATAAAAACCAAATTGTTAACAGTTGTCAAACTAATTAAGTGCCTTCCTTCCTGCTGTATACAAGGTGGACGCAAATAGAGAAAGCACGTATAAGAATAAAACATTATCTCTATCAGTGAATAGTAAAATCATTGATTAATTGATTTATTTATTTCTGATAACGATGGGTTTGTATTTAGCAGGTGTAAGTTATATCAATTAAATAGGAAATAGCTGATTAAAGAAATCTAAACTTTTTAAAAGTTGAAATAATTTGTAGAATAAACAAAGAGAATAGAATATATATTAGAGTGGAATTTACTAGAAAAAAGTGTAAAACGGCCGTTTTGTTGTACTGTTTCCATACTGCAGGTGTACTTCACATATTTATGTTATATAACCTTTTGGGCCCTGGAATATCATTTTATAGAAAATCTAATATTAATATTAAAAGAAAATCAAATTATGAAATAGGCTGGTTTCATAATTGACCAATGATCATTTCACATAGACTCTATGCATTTCATTTTACAAACGATGATTTTCCGTTATAACTATGAATCAAATGATATTTTTTATTCACCTAATTCATTGTAAAGTTTATTTAACAGCTTTAAAAAATTCGAAATTGAAATGGAAAGTCTAGGGAACATACTGTATTAATGTACTCTACTGCATATAATTTGTGAACATTTACATGATTTGTACACTTTGAACTCCGTTTCAGACTGAAAGGGACTGAAAAATTCATACCGAGAGATTCTCTAAATTCCACTCTAAAATATATTCTATTCTCTTTGAGAATAAATAATGTTTAACTTTTTTTCAGAAAAGATAATAAAAAATGGCACCTAAGAAGAAAAAAGGTATTACTGGAACATTTTATTTTCTATATAATTTAAAAAATGATTTGGTAACCCGAAAAAAGGTTCAGACTTTAGTAAGGATTCCGCAGATTAATACTTATTTCTTAAAGGGACAGATTCTGCAGATTTATATGTATTTCTTAAAAGGACATTTTCTGCAGATTTATATATATTTCTTAAAAGGATATTTTCTGCAGATTCATATGTATTTCTTAAAAGGACAGATTCTGAATATTTCTATGTATTTCTTAAAGGGACGGAATCTGCAGATTTATATGTTTTTCTTAAAGGGACAGATCTGTAGATTTATATGTATTTCTTAAAGGGACAGATTCTGCAGATTTATATGTATTTCTTAAAGGGACAGATTCTGCAGATTTATACACGTATTTCTTAAAGAGAATAATTCTGCAGATTTATATGTATTTCTTAAAGGGACAGATTCTGCAGATTTATATGTATTTCTTAAAGGGACAGATTCTGCAGATTTATATGAATTTCTTAAAGAGAATAATTCTGCAGATTTATATGTATTCCTGAAAGGGAAAGATTCTGCAGATTTATATGTATTCCTTAAAGGGACAGATTCTGTAGATTTATATGCATTTCTTAAAGGGACAGATTCTGCAGATTTTTATGTATTCCTTAAAGGGACAGATTCTGCAGATTTATATGCATTTCTTAAAGGGACAGATTCTGCAGATTTATATGTTTTCCTTAAAGGGACAGATTCTGCAGATTTATATGTATTTCTTAAAGGGACAGATTCTGCAGATTTATATGTTTTTCTTAAAGGGACAGATTCTGCAGATTTATATGCATTTCTTAAAGGGACAGATTCTGATTTATATGTATTCTTTAAAGGGACAGTTTCTGTAGATTTATATGTATTTCTTAAAGGGACAGATTCTGCAGATTTATATGCATTTCTTAAAGGGACAGATTCTGCAGATTTATATGTATTCTTTAAAGGGACAGATTCTGCAGATTTATATGTATTTCTTAAAGGGACAGTTTCTGTAGATTTATATGTATTTCTTAAAGGGACAGTTTCTGCAGATTTATATATATTTCTGAAAGGGACAGATTCTGCAGATTTATATGTATTTCTTAAAGGGACAGATTCTGCAGATTTATATGTATTTCTTAAAGGGACAGTTGACGTAATTTCAAGTTACTCTTCAGTTTTAAAGTGGCATGCCCGATTCACAATATTAACTTTGAAAGCTTTGATGAAGAGTGTGAGAAAAATGAAAAAGGGGGAGAGTAACAGAATAACCAGAGCTGGAAACTTGTATTGTGAATATCGAGATCAAGCATGCTTGATCACGATCTTTTTTAATCTGCAGATTAATTTAATCTTGATTAAATATCCCGCATGCATGCATGGCAACCGTACCTTGGGGGAATAACTGGAATGAAGAAATTAAGCATTGATCCTCAAATCAAAATTGCCCACAGTGAATATTGAGATAAAACGATCGGGATTTCTGGCAAACAAATACAAAAGTTTTCAGCTGTAATTATTTCTAGCTCTAAGGAAATTGAATGGGGATTGTCTCAGTCCGGTTTTTAAAACATTTAAGGTTTCGTTTTCTTTAAGGTTTACATGTGAATGCTCTATAAGGTTGCTATCATTTATACTATGACAATTTTTCCAAAGTTTAGACGATAAAATACAATGAAAAAAGCGGATAACAGTTGTTGTTTTCATACGGCAGATAACTTTTCATAGCGTGGTCTTTTAGTAATAACTTGAACTAATACTACAACCACTATTATTTGGTTCCAATTAGAGATGGATGTGAAATAACGAAACTTTTGAGAATGAACGAAACTTTTCAACTACGATACGAATGTGTCGTTTTGAAGAAAAAAACGGCTTGGATCGTTAACAGAAATTAAAAAACGATTATTTTTAAAAACGAAAAAAAAATTAAACCAATGATTTAAAATGATTTGAACAATCTTGAACAACAATCGTTTTTTACTAAACGAACGAATTTTCCGAAAGATTTTGAAAAAATGGAGAGTTTTAATACTGAACGAACATTTTTTTAACTTCTGAAAAAAAACGATTTTTTCTAATTGAAAGAAAGGTTCTTTAGAATGAACGATTTTTCTGAATGAGATATTTTACTGAACAAACGATTTTACTGCAGTGAGAAGACAAATGAAATAGATAAAAAATTAAAATCATTTTTTTAACAATTGAAAAGAATGAACGAAATGGGTCATTGACAAATAATGAACGAATAAAATGAAAAAAGCATCTCTAATTCCGTTGCATAAGCTTGACAAAAAAGGAACACTTTTCTTCAAATTACATATTGTAAAATAGCATTTTCTCTCTGTGTATCCAACTTAAATTTGTTAGAGCCAAATAAAATTTTAACTTAATTCTTATCTTTCAGGTTTTAGCTATTCAGTTAAAATTCAATTCTTCTTTCATTTTTTCTATCCAATCAGCATCACACATTACATTTATTCGGACCTAGTAAGAATTATTAAAAGTGTTTATTTGTACAGCAGCTGCTACAGAGGAACCAGCAGAGGAAGGAGAGGGGAAACCTGAGGAAAAAGCTGAAAATAAAGGCAAGAAAGGTAAAGACGAACCTGGTAAGGTAGCTGAAGATCAAGATGAAAAGGCAGCTGATAAAATAGCTAAAAAAGCAGCAGATGAAACAGCCGACAAAGCAGCTGATGAACCAAACGAAACCCTAGTTGATGTTGAGGAGAAGAAACCCTCAGACAGGATTCAGGTAAACTAAATAAATCATAATTTTAATAAATACTAGTAGGACCTCATATCATCTTGGCAATTAAAATTGTTTTGAACATATTCTCTGTATTTTATATCAACTATTAAATCATGTCAAGCCTAGTTTTATGCTTTTTTTACTAACTAAAAGCTCTGTCAGGGCAGCTCACCTTCTATCAGTAGCTTCTTTGGATTCTGTCAAGAGCTATTAATATATATCTTCCGGTCCCCTCTAACAAATTGTGAAAAGGATTTTTTCATATTTGTATTGATATTTTATTTCATATATATTACATGAAGTATTATAAACTATATAAATAATGAATTTAAGTATAACTACAATACTTATGTATCAAACAAAAATACAGTGATAACCAGAAAACTTTGGAATAGGAAGACTACTTTTAGGCGCAAATTATAAATAGTCTAAAAAACATAAGACACAGCGATTGTGCAGTGTAAACAGACCCATTTGACTTAATAAGTGATTCAATCAGTTATAAGTAAAACTATTTTCTGTGTAACAACTACAACTACACTCAAGATTTATAGAATGTCGTCTTCCTATTTTACAGCTTTATAGTTATCACTGTATGTTACGATTTTTCCATTTTAGAAAGTTCTTTATTGCAGTAATTCTTACGCAACAATGGGTTAAATTTTCAAGGAAACCGAGTGAAGTAAACAAAATTGCAAACCTAGTTTTTTTAAGGGAAATCCACCATTCAACTAAAGTAAGGATTGGTCAAAAAATGTTATTTTGAATAGTTGGATTGAAATGTTTTCCTTCTAGGCTGAGATAGACCAAAATACTGCTGAGGAAAATGCCGCTGATGATTGCTGCGTGTGTCCTTGCTGTTGTTGTTGTTGGATCACTTGCAGGAAAGGATCCATGCGTCTTCCATTTTTATTCTTTTTAATCTCCATTTTAGATTTTATTTCGGGGTTTAGAGGAATTTTAGAAACTATGATTTTAAGAAGAATTGTTGTAAAAGATTACTGTTGTATTTGATTAAATATGGATACCCATGCCAGGAGGAAAAAAGAGAAGAGAAAAAGAGAAACACTTTCTGCTTTTATCAGGTTGGGTTTTCATTTGCTGTATAGTATGATTAAGCAAACATGGAAAAAACGGATTTTGGATGAAAAAAAACAATATTTTCTTGTAAACGATCATCACATGGTAACAACAAAAGCGTACTCAAAAATATGTATGCTATTATTTTTTTAGAATATTTTCATAAAACAACTTAAAGTTTATTCTTCAATCTTGAAAATCGTTGAAAAATCATTAAAAATATTTTTGTTTCTAGAAAAAATAAAGCTGCATGCAGTGATCTGCCAAAAAATATTTTTTCCTCCTTTTTTGTCAATTCGTTATTTTCGTGTTTAATTTATAATCATCTTGATTCAAAAGTTATTATGATTTAAGTCTTTAAGGCTTAAGTATATTTCAGTTTTGTTTGAGTAACCCTTTAAGGCTTAAGTATCTAAGTCTTGTTAATAGCTCTTTAAGGCTTAAGCATTTAAGTTTTTTTTAATAACTTTTTAAGGTTTAAGTATTTAAGTCTTTGTGAGTAACTCTTAAGGTTTAAGTATTTAAGTCTTTGTGAGTAACTCTTTAAGGTTTAAGTATTTAAGTCTTGATGAGTAACCCTTTAAGGTTTAAGTATTTAAGTCTTGTTTGAGTAACCCTCTTAAGTATTTAAGTCTGGATGAGTAAGGTAAGTCTAATTGTGAGTAATCTTTAAGGTTTAAGTATTTTAGTCTTTTTGAGTAACCCTTTAAGGCTTCAGTATTTAAGTCCTAGTGAGTAATCTTTTAGGCTAAAGTATTGAGGTCTTTGTGAGTAATCTTTAAGGTTTAAGTATTTAAGTCTAATTGTGAGTAATCTTTAAGGTTTAAGTATTTCAGTCTTTGTGAGTAATCTTTAAGGTTTAGGTATTTAAGTCTTTGTGAGTAACCTTTAAGGCTTAAGTATTTAAGTCCTTAAGGCTTAAGTAATTATGTCTTAGTGAGTAATCCTTTAAAACTTTAGTATTTCTTAATGAAGAATCAAGAATGAAAGCGGGGAAAACCCTCTCCTGCTTCCCACGCAAGCAACAATTATAATATTTGAAGCAAGCTTTCTCTAATTCCTATACGTACTTTTAATATTAATAATAAACAAAAAACATTATAACTTCTTTATTCTTAAATATGAAAAAATTTTGAATACAAATATTGCATGAAAGATGGGATGGGAGTGGGGTGGGGCATTATATTAATAATCATACATAAAATATATTAAAATATGTTTATACCACTTTTTGGGAAAATTAAAAAAATGTATATGTAGGTATATGTCCCTAAAAAATTGAGCCTTTAATAACTAATCTAAAATTCGTATATCAAGATCAGATAATGGTTTTTTAATATAATCTTGTAAATGTGTAGATATTTAAAGTTATATGAAAGAAAAAACCAGTTTACATCTGGCGACCAATAAAGTCTAAACTGTGTAAGATCAGATTAAAAAATACATATACAAGTAAAACTATAACAGATTTCGAAATAGATTTCAAATTTAAGAAGACATGATGATCGAAATCCTATAACGTTATAAAATAATACATTTAATAACAATTTATCCTCCATATTGAAAGTTTCAGGTAGTCTTAAAAGTTTTATTTTTTTGTACAGTGAAACCCTTAATAACGAATACATCGGAAGAATTTATTAAATGTCGTCTTGAATTTATACTATATTACGTAAATTTCAGTATTTATGAAAATAAATAAATACCTAGGAATATGCGAGAACAGTTTTAAAGATCTCCATATAATCATTTAATTAAAGAGCTAAATATCTGCAGCATTCCATTATCAGAAAGGGAAGAATACGACATTTGATAAATTCTGTCAATGTCTTTATTAAGGGTTTCACTGTAAGTAACCTTGTTGTTCGTTGAATGAGAAAGAAGGCGACATTTTATATTAGAATAAAGTTTAGGCAGGATCACAAGGAAGTTACGCGCACATGCCGCGTTGAATTCAAGACAGAGAGAAAGAGTCTGCTAAAGCCGCTGTGCTCGGCCCCCTAGCCTGTCCTAACCCTGAAATATATTCTAATCTCTCTCTTCTTGTATTTTATCGCGGCAAGGGCACGTAATGTTTATATATTCTAGGCGAAGAACAAGTTCTGTATTGGGAGACAATGATGCCTGGTCAACTCTAAACGTTAAACGAGATCTTCATTTTGAAGAGTAAGCCATCTTTTTATTTTACAGAATATTACCTAAATCGCAACTCTTCGAAATTAATCATAAATTGTATTTTTTCAACCTCAATATTGTAAGATGGGGTTTATCCCACGCAAACAGGATACTGGAGAGAATCCTTTTAAGGTCGTCTTTTTATTTTAGACGACATTTTCGGCATTTATTCGTCAACTTAATTTTACAGGTGGAATTTTTGAAACAATAATCATCAAGTGCCCGGATACTTCATGCCATATGTCCTCATTTTCAAAATGTGGTCTGTTCCTGAATACATATAGACTATATTGCTCATGCAAGCTAAATATGGATAAATATGGATTAACCTCTATAGTGCTAATTTCATATTTTCAGTTTCAGCTAACGACATGAGCTATCTAGTCTAATTTATCTAGGGGTCGCTACTATAGTGTAAATTCATATTTTCAGTTTCAGCTGACGACATGAGCTATCTAGTCTAATTTATCTAGGGGTCGCTACTATAGTGTAAATTCATATTTTCAGTTTCAGCTGACGACATGAGCTATCTAGTCTAATTTATCTAGGGGTCGCTACTTGCAATTTAAAATTTGCCGGTGAAGTAAAGAACTCTTCAGATTATAAATTATTAAATAGAATCAAAATTGTCTACACGTCCAATTTTAGCATCATTCTTAGTTAACAAATGAGATCAAACTAGAACACACTACAGGGTGTCCCAATAAACATGGGAATTAATAGACGACTTTAAAGCTTTAAGGTTGCATAAAATCACTGTTCACGATGTCTAATTCTGTTGCATGAAACGCGTTGGGTCAACTGCATACCGGGTACACCATAGACGGGCCGGTACGATAAAGACTAGACTGGCATCCTTGTATTGGTTCGGATTGTGCAACTTTTGAACTAATGTCAAGCTTTTTCAGAACCATCAGATAGTTCTCAGAGATCAAAGAAACTCTTATAAGTCGTCTCTTAATTGTTGTTTGGTTGGACAATCCGCTATCTAGATATCACAAAGAGAATAGAATATATATTAGAGGGGAATTTACTAGAAAAAAGTGTAAAACGGCCATTTTGTTGCACTTTTTTCATACTGTAGGTGTACTTCACATATTTGTGCTGGGCCCTGGAACATCATTTTATAGAAAATCTAAAATTAATACTAAAAGAAAACCAAATTATGAAATAGGCTGGTTTCATAATTGACCAATGATCATTTCATGCATAGACTCTATGCCTTTCACTTTACAAACGATGATTTTCCGCTATAACTATAAATCAAATGATGTTTTTTATTCACCTAATTCATTTTATAAAGTTTATTTAACAGCTTTAAAAATTTCGAAATTGAAATGGATAGTCTAGGAAACATACTATATTAATGTACTTTACTGCATATAATTTGTGAACATTTACATGATTTGTACACTTTGAACTCCCTTTCAGGCTGAAAGGGACTGACAAAATTCATACCAAGGGATTGTCTAAATTCCGCTCTAATATATAATCTATTCTCTTTGAACAGTCACTTTGTAAATTCGCGTATAGCTGTTATAGTTGTTCGTTCATAAAACAAAAAAGCCGACAAAAAAAGCATAGAATTTACGTTTTTGTGGGACATCACGTGACCACAGGGAATGTTTATGAATGACAAAAATTTTAAAGTGTTTAATTTTAAAGTGTGTTTTAAAGGTTTTTAATTTTGTAAAATAATTTAAATTCTTGAAAATCCGCGAATTTTTTTTTTAAAAATCCGCAACATTTTTTTCTTCTTCGTTTTAAATTTAAACAAAAAGAACATGTTCACAATTTAAATAGAAGATGGGCGAGAAGCGCCCTTAAAGCCTAGTAGTTCAAATTTTGATAAAAAGCTTGCTGGTAAATGGACCGAACTTATAAACAGCTGATTTTCATTTCAATTGATATTTTTATGTTAAGGCATGAGAGGCTTAAAGCTCTTCAAATCAAGAGAGAACTGGCGCTCGCAGATATATGGAATAATTCGAGAACACCGAGCCAATCTTCGCTAGTTACTGAGCTTAGCTAGAATAGTGAGCCAATCCTCGTTAGTTACTGTGCTAAGCTAGAATATTGAGCCAATCCTCGCTAGTTGCTGAGTAAGCCAGAATATTGAGCCAATCCTCGCTAGTTGCTGAGTAAGCCAGAATATTGAGCCAATCCTCGCTAGTTACTGAGCTAAGCTAGAATATTGAGCCAATCCTCGCTAGTTGCTGAGTAAGCTAGAATATTTAGCCAATTCTCGCTATAGTTACTCAGTTTAGCTAGATTATTGAGCCAATCCTCGCTTGTTACTGTGCTTAGCTAGAATATTGAGCCAATTCTCGCTATAGTTACTCAGCTTAGCTAGATTATTGAGCCAATCCTCGCTGGTTACTGAGCTTAGCTAGGATATTGAGCCAATCCTCGCTAGTTACTAAGCAAAGCTTATAGAATTGAGCCAATCCTTGCTAGTTACTGGGCTTAATTAGAATATTGAGTCAACTCTCGATATAGTTACTCAGCGTAGCAAGAATATTGAGCGAATCCTGGCTAGTTCCTGAGCTAAGCTAGAATATTGAGCCAATCCTGGCTAGTTCCTGAGTAAGCTAGAATATTGAGCCAATCCTCGCTAGTTGCTGAGTAAGCTAGAATATTGAGCCAATTCTCGCTATAGTTACTCAGCTTAGCTAGATTATTGAGCCAATCCTCGTAAGTTACTGAGCTTAGCTAGAATATTAAGCCAATCCTTGTTATTTACTGAGCTTAGCTAGAATATTGAGTCAATCCTCGTTATTTACTGAGCTTAGCTAGGATATTGAGTCAATCCTCGCTAGTTACTAAGCATAGCGATAATATTGAGTCAATCCTCGCTAGTTAATGAGCTTAGCTAGAATATTGAGCCAATCATCTCTAGTTAATTAGCTAAGCTTGAATATTTAGCCAATCCTCGCTAGTTACTGAGCTAATCTAAAATATTGAGCCAATCCTCGCTAGTTGCTGAGCTGAGATAGAAAATTGAGCCAAATTCGTTTCAAGCATTTTAGCCAAAAATCATAGATGTTTGTAAATTATCCTAACTTGGAATAGAATAAAATGTTTTTTCTAACATATTTTTCTATTTGCTTTGTCTGAGACAGGTGTAAATGTACTGAAATATTTGGTACCAACCTACATTGCTGAACTGTGTGTAAACAATCCCATCACGTGTTTTGCCCCAAAAAATTGTGATAAATTAAAAAAGACAAAGTTTAACGCATTTCTAATTTTAACTTAATATTATACAGGATTGGATCTCGGCGAACTGTAAATTCAAAACATTTTTATTATTTGGCATATATTATATTAGGCATATATTATATTTGGCATATATTATATTTGGCATATATTAAGGAACTACATACTTCAATTACCTTGTGCTACTTTATCCTGACTTCAAATAAAGCAAAAGCCCAAAATTGGATTCAAATTTATATAAAAACAAGAAGGGTTTGCAATCAAATAAGAAAAACTAGAATACAAAAATGTTGATTTACTACCTCAAAAATTAAACCTACTTTAGTTTTACGTCTTTCAAATTAAAAATTGACTATGTACGATATTTGGAACATATTAATTAATTTCATCATTTACATCTTTTTAGATGGTTTCGCGAATTTTTTTCTCACTTTATGCTTCTCTCGATTAAAAGGATTCAGACGAATTCAAATATCTATATTTATTCAAAATAAATCTGTATAATTGTAGAAATTGTTTGTTTACATATCAATATGTACTGCAAATTATTTGGAAGATTAAAAGATTTAAATTATTTCTGTGAAAAAATCAAAGAAAAAGATTTTTTCAAATTTATTTTCGCTTCCTTTGGTGATATAAGAACTGGAAGACAATTGTAAAATTTTGAATTCTAATTAAATATTTGTGTCATATAATAATCTTTAATGTTTTTTTTTTCACAACTTTTAGAGAGATTTATCAGTTCACTTTCTCTTCCATTTATTAAATCGTAAAGATGGTCTTTGTTAGAAATTTAAAACTGAGATTGCTCATTGTTCATTTCTAAATGGGTTGACTGACATAGACCTCAAAATTAACAGCTTTTAGAGGTTTTCAGTTTAATTTAAAAAACCAAGTTTTTTTTTATTTTTCGAGTGCATCTGCATACTGACGGATTGGTAACTATTAACTGTTATGGTAATTTGAAATTCTTAGTCCATGGAACTAGGAACTATGATCTTACTCCATGGAACTAGGAACTATGATCTTACTCCATGGAACTAGGAACTATGATCTTAGAACTTGAAACTAGGAACTATGATCTTAGAACTTGAAACTAGTCACTATGATCTTAAACTTGAAACTAGGAACTATGATCTTAGAACTTGAAACTAGGAACTATGATCCTAGTCCATGGAACTAGGAACTATGATCTTAGTACTTGAAACTATGAACTATGATCTTAGAACTAGAAACTAGAAACTATGATCCTAGTCCATGAAACTAGGCATTATGATCATAGTCCATAGAACTAGGCAATATGATCTTAGTACTTGAAACTAAGAACTATGATCATATTCCATAGAACTCATTCCATAAATATAACTCCATAGAACTAAACAATAATCATCGACCATGGAACTTTGATCTTAGTCGGAATTTATGGCACTCAGATGCACATGAAATAATAGATGTATCTTTTTTAGTTTAGGTTCTAGGATTGATATCCAACCTATATCCAGGTACTGTAATAAACAGAGATTATCTTGGTACTTCTCCGTATCCATGGAAAGGTTGGTATCCTGGTTTCTTATAAAGTTCGAATGCTGACCCTCTATACTCTCTATTGGATAAATCTAAAGTATCACCAGGGGCGCGACGGCGGGGGGATACTCCCCCCTGGCCCCCTTCCTCCCTCTGGGTGGGTAGATTGTAGTAGTATTGCCCCTGGGACCGGGGGGGAGGGGGTCCATTATATCTGTTATAACTAGAATAGTCTCGGTCCAATGAGGACCCTTGACCTGAGTCCACTCCATTGGAGTCCACGTCATCAAAGGGAGGAACACGTGGTGGAGAGGGTTGGTAGTTATCCACTACTCTAGAGGAATGATAATGATAGGAGTTAGGATAATCAGACTCTTGTATATAGTTCCCGTTCATATAGTTAGATTCTTGCAGGCTAGCAGGTTGGGATGGATGGGAGGGGTGGGAGGGGGTGGAGGAGAAAGTTTTAGGTTTAGGAGGTGGTACAGGTTTATATACACTAGATTTGGGAGGAGGCATAGGTTTGTACTCAGAATACCTGAAAGCATACATCTATTAAACTTCAATACTACTAAACCCAATTATTTGACGGTTTCTCAATTACCCCAGGAAACGTTTTTGGCTGGTCGAACTCGAATTTGAAAACTTTTCCAACAAAAAAGTAGATGTCTGAAAAAATTGGCGACTTTTCAAATTGTTTGTTTTGTTAAATGTGTTTTCAAGTATTGTTACCTATATTTATCTTGACTTGATGAAGGCGGTAGGGGCTTCCCCGTTGAGGCATAGCCGTTCATTCCGTTCTGAGGCAGAGTAGTTCCGTTCTGAGTCGGAGTCATCCCGTTCTGCGACGGAGGAATGCCGTTCTGGGGCAACGGGTTTCCGTTAATTGGCGGCGGAATCCCGTTTGTTTGAGCATGTATTCCGTTTTGGTGCGTTGGTGTGCCGTTTTGCTGGGGCGGATAATTTTGACCACCAGGGTTACGAGATATCTGTGAGCTGGCGTAACCGGGATCCGCCGTTCTCTTCCCGTAAGAATCATAACCCTCCGCCGAATGAGCGTTAAATGAGTTTGAATTAGAGTTTGTTGATCCATATCCGGGACTAGGGGACTCTTCCGGCGGACTATGCTGGGCCCTATGGCCGAAAAGTCTTTCAGCTGCCGATTTTTTACTTGGCTTCTTCTGCCGGTCAATTTTCGGCGGAAGGACGGGTCCAGGTTTCGTTTTGTCTCCGGCAACGGAGCCATATTTATCTTGGTTAGATGAGGCCGGAGACTCCTCTAGTTTAAACCCAAACTTGTCTCCACTTTGTGATTCTCTTTTCTCAATAGAGCCCTAAAGCAAAGTATCTTAATATAATTAACATTTTAAATGTACAGGGTTACCCACAAGGGATGAGACTTCAAAGACGACTGTGCGGAATTTACACTGTTTCTTTATATTTATGTTTCCTAGCAACTGTAAACTTGTTTATTCTTTGCTAGATCATTTGATAAGCTATTATAAGACTATATTCAAGACAGAAGACTTGATTCAACCATGGGATCGTCATATATTTTGAGTTTTAATACTAATATTATCTACCTCCTGTTGTTGTTGTTTTTGAGGAATACTAATATTATCTACCTGCTGTTGTTGTTATTGTTGAGGAATACTAATATTATCTACCTGCTGTTGTTGTTGTTGTTTTTGAGGAATACTAATATTATCTACCTGTTGTTGTTGTTGTTGAGGAATACTAATATTATCTACCTGCTGTTGTTGTTGTTGAGGAATACTAATATTATCTACCTGCTATTGTTGTTTTTGTTGAGGAATACTAATATTATCTTCCTGCTGTTGTTGTTGTTGTTGAGGAATACTAATATTATCTACCTGCTGTTGTTCCTGTTGTTGTTGAGGAATACTAATATTATCTACCTGCTGTTGTTGCTGTTGAGGAATACTAATATTATCTACCTGCTGTTGTTGCTGTTGAGGAATACTAATATTATCTACCTGCTGTTGTTGTCTTTGTTGAGGAATACTAATATTATCTAACTGCTCCTGTTTTTGTTGTTGAGGAATACTAATATTATCTACCTGCTGTTGTTGTTGAGGAATACTAATATTATCTACCTGCTGTTGTTGTTGTTGTTGAGGAATACTAATATTATCTACCTGCTGCTGTTGTTGTTGTTGTTGAGGAATACTAATATTATCTACCTGCTGTTGTTGTTGTTGAGGAATACTAAAATCTGGAATATTTACTCCGGATTCACTTTTCATGGTTCCATCCTTCCGGGCTAGGTTTGGGTCAGAGGTGGCTCGGAAGAGGCGCGAAGAGTCCTAAATTTATAAAAAAAAAAAATTGAATATCATGAATCATGATATTTCCCCCTCCCTCCCCCTTCCTTAGTTAATTAGATTAATTTAATGGATTCTATGAAATAATAATTCTACCAGCGCATGAAACATTAATTAACATTTTATTTTAATCTTCAGTATTAAAAATAAGAACAGAAAATTATTTGATTTGGGGGGAAAAGTAAAAAGTAAAAATATCCAAATATTTTTTGAAAAATTGTTCCTTTTCTAATATTTTCGTTTCTCTGCAAAATAAAATTTACATTTTTTTCTGAGGATGGAAACTTTGGATATAGAGCTAACTTTTTAAACATAAATTCCGAAATCGGAGCTTTCTTCTGCTTATATCAAATTCGTCCTTTAAGTCCCCGGACTATTACCTGCAACGTCCCAGTCCTACTCGTCCCTCCTTTCCTCGGACTATCTTCTCCGCAAAACTCTCCGTCTGACTCTGGGTAGGACGAATACGAGAGACGAGAACTCATCGGGAACAGGAAATCGTCCGAAAATGATTCGTCCGGCTGTAAGAGGAATTAAAATATTAGATTTTTTATCTTTATTTATCATATTTTATTGTTACATGCATTTTATAAAAATATTCATTTGGTAAAAACTACTTAAATGTTAAAAGTACAGTCAGAAAGTTATAAGGAGCAGAATAAAATATTTTATATTAGTTATGAGTCCACTAAAAAAATAATGCTATATGCAAAAAAAACTCATTTAAGACATTTTCACAGACTTGAACCGCATTATTTGTTTTTTCGAGTTCTTTAAAATATTGAACAAATTGCATAACTAATGTTTTAAAAAATTAGCAGTGACAGTTCCATTTTGTAAATATTTCTCTGAACAAGTTAGAAATAGAGTGTGCATAACTTTTTAATTCATTAATTTTTCAGATTTTTAATAAACATCTTAAGAAAATATGATAAAAATTAATCAACAATTTAGGTTAATTTATCATAATAAACTTATTAATTAAAAAGATATCATTCTAAAATTACATTATTTACAGAATCACATGCAGTGTTACCATTTACCAATTATATTCTATATTTACAATATCATCATGCATTATTATTTAAGGTATTAAAGGTGCAAGCAACTTACAGTTGAAGAATCGGAATTTAAAAGAGCAGTAGAAGTTGAACTATAAATAAAAAGTCAAAAATAAAAAAATGTTAATCACCCCTAACCACATTGTTCTATCTTGTATTTTTCAACATTTAGTCTGTTAACGTAATTTCTAGTGATCCTCCATTTAATAATTAAAAATAAATAACATGCAGATTTATCCAGCAAAAGAAGGAAATTGTTTCTAAATCCTCATGTTTGCTTAGAAAGAGGTTCAAAGCGTACTGTTGTTATTCTTAAAATGGGGGGTAACTTGAAATTACGAAGTCAGACCCTTTAATGTTAATTTGATCCAATTAGCAACAAAAATCTATAAAATCAAAGATTCTAGATAAAATGGTCGACTTTATCCTCCTGTCGACTGAAATCAAAGATTCTAGATAAAATGTTCGACTTTATCCTACTGTCGACTGTATCTATTCTAGATAAAATGTTCGACTTTATCCTCCTGTCGACTGTATCTATTGGTCCCTGGTGTCTCCTTGTTGTCGATGGATTTGAGGAGCATGTCGTAAATCTCCGGGTCCAACGGAGGAGGGACCGGAGGGCTCTCGGAGTCCGTATCCTCCGAGTCCAGGTAGTCCTACAGGTCCAGGTTTATCCAGTGTTCAGTGGTCCACAAAATATAGTGGAATGCAACGACGACTTTTAATGAAAACACAGTGGGACCCGTAAAACTGTGTGGAATAGGAAGAAGACTCTTCGACTCAAGTTATGTTAATATATTATATATGATAATATTTAGTCCAATAACCATAAAACTGTGCAGTGCACAAAGACCCATTTTACTTTCTAGGTACTGTTTAAACCATTTAAAAGATTGTCTTTCTATTTCACAAGTTGGGGTAAATTTATGAAAAATTTGAATTCTGATTGAAAGCTTTCAGGTTTTTATTAAATTTTCCCACGAAATCATGATGCTTTGTAATATTGTAAGTCAAGTTCTTTTAAAATTTAAGATAATATAATTAATTTTCAATGCAAAAAAAATAGAACAATTTGCACGCAACGAGCTTTAAAAATGTTTCTGATTAAATATGACATATTTTATTGAATTCAAGTATTTTCTATTAAATTGGGTATTATTGTGATTTGTTTTTATATAAAGTTTGGCGGCTTTATGAAAACGAAATCTAGCGTGCTAGGTTTCATTTATCTTAATACTTATATTTATATTTTCACAATTCCTTCTAAAATTCTTACACAATGCAACTGCATTCCCGTCATATTTACAGTTAACATCGTCAAAATAATTGCGGATTACTATCATGCAAACATGCATTTTTATCAACCTATAAGAAAAAATGGCGTCACTTTCTGCCGGATAAACGTGTTTCCTGTGGCGGAGATCCCAACGGTAGCAGGAATACATCAGAACAGAACTCTACCGGCTATACAGTATACCAGATTTATATATTATGTGTACATGCTTAATGTTCAGATTTTCTTTTATCTCATTAAGCGAAACCTTGTGTCTTAAATATCTAACACTACGAAGTAAAGAATCAAAAGAATATATAAAGCTATTGTTCACCTATTTGAAAATACTTTTATAACACCAAATATTTGTTGTCAAATTAGGATTTCAACTAATCCAATTATACGGTTTAAAGATGTCCCTAGGATTAAAATCGTCGAAATTAGTTAAAACTCATTTCCTTACTCTGATTTTCTTATCCCTATATCTTTGCATTTTAATGTTGTAGACCTTAGATATTTCAAACTATGAATCATTTGAGATCAAATAATGATAATTGAAATATCAATGGTTTACACCATCAGGTTGAAAAGATATAGTGATTGTAAAATCATAATTTGTGGCAAAAACTCAGCTCCTTTCTTGAATTTTTAAATATTTTCTGTTCAACTTTAGAAACAATTAATTTTTAATTATTTTATTTAATTATTTAATTATTTAAGATTTAACACATTGTGCATAAAATTAATGAAAAGAGAAATGTAAAGAAAATATGTAAAAATCTACGAAATTAGCCAAAATTACTTATTTAAACAGAAAGAAATGATTATTTTGACTCTGAAAAATTGGCTTGGTTCTTGTGTTCAGAAAGTTGGAATTTTTTTTATTTTCAAAATGGTGAACAGTTCCTTTAAGAATGCGAAACTAAGCTAATATCATGCATAACTAAAATTCCATGCGTTTTAAGCATTCTTTATCCATGCAAGCAAAGCAATCTTGATAAAACCAGAGATAACAACAGATAACACTTTAATCTAGTTTTTATCTCATATAATCTCTGACTAGCATATCTTCAACTAAAAGGAATGTTCACGAAATGTGAAATGATTTTTAGACAATTTTCGTAAACATTCCTTTTAAACTGTATAAATTTTCTACCTTAGCATCAGACATCCAGATTGGGGCAGTTTGTTGTTTCTCAATCAAATCTGTGATCTAAATTAAAAGTTTATAAACAAAAAGTTTTAACAAATTTAATTTTTTCACTTAAAACTTAATTCCCATATAAGTTAAAGGGAGTGACCGGTTATGTAAGGTAGTTGAACTGAGTATGCAGTGTTGTGGAAAACGTCTTTCGGTTCATTTTGAGACATATTAAACTTTTTAAAGATCTGTAAATCCTGAGTTGGAGCTCAAATTCGACGTTCAAAACTCCTACTTTGGGGGTGTATACATTTTCAGAATTAGTTTTTTTTTATTATTGAATAACGACAACGAAAAATAAAGTAAAAATTATACAGTAATCTAATGAGATGGTTGGGAACATATTTCTCAAAAGAAAATTGTCAATAAATAAATGCTAAATCGATTATTTCCTTCTCATTATTTTATTGAATTTCTAATTTTCTTTGAATTTATTCGCAGATTTCATCAAATTCTTAAAATGTCGTTTTTTCAACAATAATTCTAGAAAATCTGCGAAAATCGTTGTGAATAATGAGAAACAGAATAATGAGATAATAGAAACTAATAATTGAACACGATTACTTATTTTCGATGATAAGATTAATTTTTTTTCTCAACATGCTCCTATACATGACGTCTGTAGTTAATTGTAGAACTTATTTACATTTTATGTCTTCGTTATTCAATAATTTAAAAAAAACTAATTCTGAAAACGTATCCATCCCCAAAGTAGGAGTTTGAACATCGAATTTGTGCTCAAACTCAGGATTTACAGATCTTTAAAAAGTTTAATATGTCTCAAATGAATCCGAAAGAAGCTTTCCACAATTCTACATACTCAGTTCAACTATCTTACATAGCCGGTCACTCCCTTTAAAAGCAAAAAAAAGTTTTCTAAGAAAGAGAAATTTTTAAAAATGGTAAATATTTCATTTTTCAAAATTCAAATTTTTTCTTATAAATATTTTTTTTACTTAAAATATTCAAATTTAAATTAAAATCGATACCGTAGGCCTTTCATATTTTAGAAACTAAATCGTGTTAGATCAAAAATCAGGTTACTAAGATATAGGGATATAAAATAAGAGTTTAATTCTAGTTTTGTGTTTAAACTGCAGTACAATACAATATGAGTTATGTACTGACCTTATTGTACCAATTATCCGTGTGTAAGTGTAGTGTACCAGTAAGGCTGTGTACTGACCTTATTGTACCAATTATCCGCGTGTAAGTGTAGTGTACCAGTAAGGCTATGTACTGACCTTATTGTACCAATTATCCGTGTGTAAGTGTAGTGTACCAGTAAGGCTATGTACTGACCTTATTGTACCGATTATCCGCGTGTAAGTGTAGTGTACCAGTAAGGCTATGTACTGACCTTATTGTACCAATTATCCGTGTGTAAGTGTAGTGTACCAGTAAGGCTATGTACTGACCTTATTGTACCAATTATCCGCGTGTAAGTGTAGTGTACCAGTAAGGCTATGTACTGACCTTATTGTACCAATTATCCGCGTGTAAGTGTAGTGTACCAGTAAGGCTATGGCCCCACAGCTTTTCTATTTTCTGACTTTGCTCAAGAAGTTTGCGGCTCGGAAGATGGGCTCTCCTAGATTATGTTATTTCATTTAATCATAGTTTTATTCATTTATTCACTTATAATTTAAGAAATATAGAACAATAACACATTTCTTAAATAATAAATACAGTTCTTGCTTTTTACGTATAATTCATTAATTTGATTATATATTCATTTTATTTATTCATTATTATTATGAATTGTTTATTATCAACTTTCAGTCAAAAAATAAAGAAAATAGAAGTTCTTTAATAAAAATCTTGATTGATTTTTCATTGATTACTGATTAATGTAAATAATAAATTACAGATTAAAATATTAAAAAAACGTTTCTCCGTATAAATATTTGTTTTTAAATACCGTTGCCAATGGTTAATTTAAAGAAATCTTTTGGAAATTATTTTGAAAACGTTTACATTTAATCTTAATGCTAAAGCATTAGGTTTGTTTTCAAAACAATCTCGACAAAGGAATGTGTGTTTGTCGTGTGATGTTATGTTAAAAGTAGTATTTTATGTAAATTAAGCAATGTGAGAATCTTAAAATACCTTAGATTTTGTTTGCATCAAAAAACGACTAGCAAAACACAAATATCAACTGGTTTAATATTTGTTTAAAAAGATGTAGGTATTGTGTTTTAATGAGTTTTAATTCAATGAAGACCCAATACAAATGTGTTTTATTGAAAAGTTTATCATATTATATTTATGATTTTCCATGAATATTGGGTCTTCCACTATGTTTCTTGTGTTTTTCTATATGTTTTTTATATTGATCTGAGAGCCTAAATCAATGAATATATTTATATATATGTATCATTGTATGGATGGGACTTTACTGACGACCTGAAATTCGTTAAATTTGACAATCTGAAAGTTAAAGTTTGGTCTTTAGGGAATCATTAATGTGGGTAAAAAGACAATATACATTCCAACAGTCGTCTTGTGAAGTCTCATCCTTAATGGATAAAACCTTTTATCTTTTAAATCCAAAATCCAATATGAGTTCTCTGATACTGTATTGCCAGACTCCAACCAACCCTACAATAAATCTGCAACCCGAAGCAAAGCGAATTTGTGCCCTTGCCGCGAAGCGACCCGATTATGACTTACCAAGGTCGCCAGTCCAGCATCTGGCCTTGACCTCTACAAATGTAAATAAAAGGTCATGAGGTCAAACAAGTTTCAAAAAAGAAAAATTATGAAATTATTTGTAAATCTTACTTTGGCAACCCAGCGCGGCATTCCTTGATGGTCTGTTTACTGTCTGCACGCGCAAGAAGCACGATTGGATAGAACTGCGCGTAGTTCAGCTTGTCAACAGCGTTCGGCGTGACATCCAGTAGTGCGTGTAGACCTCGCTCCATGATATCCCTGATAGCAGAGAGACGAACTATTCCAGATTTCTTGTTCTCCAACCCTGCTCCAGAACCCAGGCTTGCTGAACTATCTTGCTCTAGGTATAGAATATAGTAGGAGGTGATTCCAGAATACATTGCTCTTTATTATACAGAATACAAAGATATATCTTGATCCATATAAGTAGAGAGGAATATAAAGATACAAAGATACAATACTTTATCTAACTCAGGAATCAGGATACATGATAAATCTTGCTCTTGGTACAATGTATAGGATACAGTAGAAAGGGATACAAAGATACAATGGTACTATAAACTGCCTTAAGTAAAAAAAATACAAAAAATTGCAGACTGAAATATTAATGTTAAACAAATCTTCCAGGTGAAAGATTATTTTATAAAAACCTGATTGACGGAAAATTTTACCATTCAATCCTATTCTAGCTCGAGGCTTTAAATCTATCATTAAACCAGGTTCGATGAATATTACGATTTTTATTTGAACTATTCAAATTGGAAAATTAAATTTGAGTCATAAATATATACTTAACCTAATAATTTGCAACATCATAGCCAGAAATGCCCCCCAAAAAATTAGTAATAATCAAAGAAATAAAAATAAAACCAATTCTTGGATACGAAATTCTAGTATCTATTTTGGTTGCAGTTTCAAGATATAATCGCAATGATTGAAATCTGACGTTGCCTTTGTATTCGTGTTATTCTTGTATACACGATTCTTCCTTATTCGAGTATACAACTATAATACTATACAACTATACAGCTATACAACTATACAACAATACAACTATACAACTATACAACTATACAACTATCCAACTATACAACTATACAACAATACAACAATACAACAACTATACAACTATACAACTATACAACTATACAACTATACAACTATACAACTATACAACTATACAACAATACAACTATACAACTATTCAAGAAAAAACTTACGAGGGGAGGCGAATTTAAGTGGGAAATCTCTTAGAAGACGTTCCCGTGCAATATCGGCCACTGCGCCGAAAATAACGACTGGCCGAGGAAAACCAGGGTGTCGTAAGCTGACCCGTTCATAAGCTGGGAACTTGGACATACTCTCACTCCATACCAGGTCTTCCCAGTGATCCTAGATATATAGATTCAAGATTCAAGATTCAAGATTCAAGATTCAAGATTCAAGATTCAAGATTCAAGATTCAAGATTCAAGATTCAAGATTCAAGATTCAAGATTCCAGGTTCAAAATTCAAGATTCAAGATTCAAGATTCCAGGTTCAAGATTCAAGATTCAAGATTCAAGATTCAAGATTCAAGATTCAAGATTCCAGGTTCAAAATTCAAGATTCAAGATTCAAGATTCCAGGTTCAAAATTCAAGATTCAAGAAATCAGATTATAGATTAAAGATGCATCTTGTATTTCCAAAAATTACAAATTTCAAATAATTAACTTTCTCTCGAAAAATAAACTAATATGCCTGAAAACGACCTGAAAAACATGAAGGTATATGGACGTAAATACCCCGCTGGGTTTTGATGCAAAAACTTGCATTAACACAATATGCATGCATAGACGCATTTTAAGCATTCTAAAATGTTTATGCATATTTGAAGCTGAGTTCTAATTGAAAAAAAGATGTGTTAAAATATTCAATTTTGTGCTTAATGCGTGTCAAATTGCAAATGCATTTATTTGGTCTGAATAAATTCATACAATGAACGTTCATAAAGGTAATTTACGGTCTGCAATAGAACATTTAATTTGTAAAATTTGTGGAAAATTAGAATCAGAATAAAAACTTTAAATATGCGGATTTCTGTCTGAAAATTGATCCTAATCACCCTTGGTTTTGTTAATTTTTTACATTGAAAGCCAGCAATAGGCGTACTTAGGGGGGCTTTGGGGGCTCATTCCCCCCTGGATTAGTATAATCTATGGTTTTCAAGGGGTTTTTAGGCCCCAACGGGTGATGAGCCCCTTCAGGACAAATTCTAAAGCGAGCCTTTTTAAATCCGATATTTCTTTTGATAAAAGGTTTCGAGAGTATTCTTTGAAGAAATAGGAACAGGAATTATTTTTTATAAGGTATTGGGACATTTCTTAGAAACATATTTCGTAATAACATAATCATAGATAGGACATTTCATAGAACAGGATATTTAATAGATAGGACATTTCATAGAACAGGATATTTAATAGATTGGACATTTCACAGAAAAATATATTCATAGATGGGACATTTAATACCCCTCAGGAAAGGTAAACAAATAAAAAAGCCTTAATAATAGGATGAATAAAGGAAGAGTGAAAAATTCTTTTCAAATGAAATGAATGAATGATTGAATGAAAAGATAAGAGAAATAGAGGAAGAAGGCCAAACTGCAAATAAGGAAATTGAGTTTTTGTAAAAAAAGAAACTCTAATTTTCTAATCCCTATATGATTTGTCTTTGTAACCCAAAGTCGTAGACATTTAATAATTCAAAATATTAATTCTATTACATTAAATAATCTAAGTTTTTCATCCTCATGTTGAAAAGATGTAGGAAAAAATTAAGTTTGATCAAAGGCTCAATTTTTCGACGAACAAATTTATACATGACTGTATCAACTTTCTTTATTTAATGACTATTCATTGAAATATAAAAAGAATAAATGAATGAATGATGGGATGAAAAATTGGAAAGGAAGGATGGATGAATGAATAAATGAATGAATACTAATTATGTTTGAACCTTCAGGAACTAATTTAAAATAGAAAGATGTGCAGACTGTAGACTGTAGACTGCACAGAATTAAGTAGATAGGCAAGAATTTACGGGGGGGAGTAAGACAGAAATCATTTTGGAGACAAAAGTGTGTAAAAAAATGTTTAACTATTAAATGATTAAATTTTTAGAAAAGAACAAAAGATTTACCTTTCCCAGGGATTTGCTTCTTCTATGGTTCTGGGTTCGTTTTCTCTTGAAGAATGATCCTGAATAAATTGTTGATAAATATCATTTGAGTGCTAAGATTGGCTTATTTATATCAAAAAATAAGTTAGGGGGTTTAATATGCAGTGGTAAGTGATTATATAAATACAATGAAGACAACTTTCGATTTTAATTTTAATTTTTATCAAACTGTTAAACAGATTGGATACACAGAAATATAGAGGTCAAGAGAAACTGACGATTAAAAATGCTTCCCTTTGATTAATTGAAAACTTTCTTATTTATTTTTATTATTATTCATTGAATTGATATAATCGTTTTTGGATTATAAATATAGCAGATTCTAACCTAAGAAACTGTTCCTTACCTTTATTTTGTTCTGAGACGGATTGTTCTTTCTTTGCCGCGTTAAATTGTTTGGTTGCAATCTCCTCTGCCCTAGATTTGTTCGGTATAACACCTTTCTGAACCTGCTCAGCTGCACGGCCAAGACCAGACAGGAACGGATCTAAAAACCGGTTTATTTTTGTGAGATCCAGAAAAAAATGATATTCTTGACGTTGTTTTTTCTTTTAATTATAAAAGGTAACTTTCAAATTTGTAACTAGCAACTGAAATATTTGTAAAAAAGTGGTGTGAAGGTCTGTAACAACCAATGAAAATTACAAAATCATTATCGACATTTTTTATGTAAATAAGAAATCTGTATTTTTGCTTCGGACGAACAAAACTTTTTGAAAATCCGCCGATGGAAACATAATAATCAGAGAAATCATAAGTTGTTACAGTGGGACCCATAAAATTGTGGAATGGGACAGTTAACACTGCAAAATTGCTGTGTTTTTGTTATGTTCATTGAATGTTATTATAATAGTAATTTTAGTCTAAAGGTCTTCTTCCTTTTCCACTGCTTTTTATGATGAAAGAAAAAAAAATACTGCCAGTTGTTAAGGTAGCAACAAAAGCTAAAATATTTAGAAGAAAGGCAATTAACGTAGATATAATATATATATATTTATATATACATATATATATATAAATAAACATATGTATATAAATATATATATATATAAAGCTTAATATATATATTTGCTGCCATTTTCTTGATTGATGTGTGGGAGGGAATGTATGAAGTAAATTGGAGGAAGGGAGGGGATGGGAGGGGAGGGGGGTGAATGGAAGATGGGAGGGTAGGGGAGGCGGGGTGAAAGGAAGAGGGGAGGGGGAAAAAGATTTCACTATTTCGCCACACATCTCATCCCTCCCATGTATAGTATTGGCTGGTGGTATAGTTATTAATTATATTTTTTGATTGGTTTCAACATTGAGTTTGCCAAAACGATATTTCTTACTGAAACCCATAATTTATAATAATTATTGTTCTAGGTATCACTGGGGGCTGATCTAGTCCATACATGGAGTCAGAAGGGGCATTTTTACACTGTAAGATCTATAAATGGTATAAGAAGGGGCATTTTCACACTGTAAAATCTATACATATTGTAAGGAGGGGGATTTTTAAACCTATACATAGTGTGTTAGGAGGTGGGATTTTACACTGTAAAATCTATACATGGTATAAGGAGGGGGATTTTTACACTGAAAAATATATACATGGTGTAAGGAGGGGGATTTTTACACTGTAAGATCTATAAATGGTGTAAGGACGGGGATTTGTACACTGTATAATCACTACATATTGTAAGGAAGGGGAGTTTTACTCTGTAAAATCAATGCATGGTATAAGGAGGCAGATTTTTACACTGTAAAATATGGACATGGTGTAAGGAGGGGGGATTTTACGATGTAAAATCTATACATTTTGTAAGGAGGGGGATTTTTACCATGTATAATCCTTACATTATGTAAGAAGGGGGGATTTTACACTAAATAATCTTTATATTGTGTTAGGAGTTAGGGGGGGGGGGGTTGTTTACGCTGATTAATCTTTTCGATAATAGGAGGTTTTTTTTAAATTAGTCTATCAAATAACAGATAAAGGTATTGGGACATTTCTTAGAAACATATTTCGTAATAACATAATCATAGATAGGACATTTCATAGAACAGGATATTTAATAGATAGGACATTTCATAGAACAGGATATTTAATAGATTGGACATTTCACAGAAAAATATATTCATAGATGGGACATTTAATACCCCTCAGGAAAGGTAAACAAATAAAAAAGCCTTAATAATAGGATGAATAAAGGAAGAGTGAAAAATTCTTTTCAAATGAAATGAATGAATGATTGAATGAAAAGATAAGAGAAATAGAGGAAGAAGGCCAAACTGCAAATAAGGAAATTGAGTTTTTGTAAAAAAAGAAACTCTAATTTTCTAATCCCTATATGATTTGTCTTTGTAACCCAAAGTCGTAGACATTTAATAATTCAAAATATTAATTCTATTACATTAAATAATCTAAGTTTTTCATCCTCATGTTGAAAAGATGTAGGAAAAAATTAAGTTTGATCAAAGGCTCAATTTTTCGACGAACAAATTTATACATGACTGTATCAACTTTCTTTATTTAATGACTATTCATTGAAATATAAAAAGAATAAATGAATGAATGATGGGATGAAANATCTGAATCCCTCCAGTGGAATGTAAATCACCCTGCGTAAAGTTTTGAATTGTAAAAAGCAGTTTTTCAAACCCCTCCAGTGAAAAAGAATTCCCTCCGGTGGTCTCCAGTGGAGTCAAAATCTTACTACGAACTTCCGTGACTCCTTATAAATACTAAGTTTTCTTCGTAAATCAAAATTTGGCATATTTTCCTATTTTTATTGGTGGATTTCTCAAAACTTAAAAAAATCTAAATTCTTCAGACAATTTGGGCCTGAATATTTCGACCGTTTTAACATTTAATGGATACAAACAACCCAAGAAAGAACCAACAGACTTTTACTGGCCAAGATATAGACGAATGAACCAAATTTAGTGAAATTTCTTAGTATGTTTGTGTAAACCGCATGTGTAATAATGTAACCATAGAAACCGCAAAATCTAAATCAATTATTTACTGATTAGGATCTTATCAACTTAATTATTAACATATAAATATAATCTACAGGGTTACCTCCAAATAGTAAGATAAGATAAGATAAGTAATTTTCATTTTATATATTTATATCAATCAAAAAATTTCTCCAATTAACACAATAACTTCCAACTCCAATATGTACCGCAATAAACAATCATGCCGGCAATGAAGTGATCACTAATAAAACAAGCTTACCCATCCTGAAAGCCTGCCAGGCCCCAACTACTCCGTTATGTAGAGTATCCACGACATGGAACACGTCGCACTTCTTAAAGGTCATCTCACCCTTGTCCGGCTGCTCGTAGTTGAAGTGCGCCTTGATGTAGAAGGAATCTCCTCTCTGTATATACACAGTCAGTATGATGATGAT